AAATACATATTAATTTTGTGAGGGATATAATTATCCAGGGCTTGATGACCCTTGATGTCTGCCATGGTTACAAAAAAAAAAAGAAAGAAAAAAAAAGGTTTGTATTATTGTTTTATATCAGCATAGATCAGGTATGATAAAACACTACACATCATCATAATCCAGAACTCTCTAAGTTAAGTTCCTGCAGTACAGGTCGCTGTTAAAACCCATGGGTGGGCATGGTAACTAACAGTAGCCTCAGCCTGTCTCCTCTGTATCCCTCTGTAGGGGCGCCCTAGGTTGTGATGAATATCAGCTGAACAAAGTGAGTGCAGGTGCACATAATGCCAAGCACTTATTTTATGCCTGCACTCACTTTTCTTAGTGTGTTTTCCCCACAGAGAAACTGCCTCTGAGCCCCTCATAGCCTGTGTACAGACTCCCCCACCCCTGAAAAAAAATTAATAATAAAAATAATAAGGGAGAGGGGCATCTCTATGCAGGCTAAGCCCCTCAGGGGAAGCGAGGTTGCCAAGCTATTACTGAATTTCCAGCCAAAAGAAAAGGTCTTATCCATGGTTGTAAGATTGTACTGTACCAAAAGCAAGTTTTAGTGAATAACATAGCCTGCATAGCTGGTGGGATAATTGTTGTGCCTGGGGTTCCTTTCTAGAACACTACAGCCTTTGCCTGCTAATCCCACCAGCTACCCAGGCTATGAATAACACTTTTTAATTAGTTAAATAGTTTCTGTTTTATACATGCCCATCCAACAAAAAATATTTCCTGACACCTGCTTAAAATGACACCTCCTTAAAATGAGCACCAATAGGTTTTTCTTCCTGTTTTTCACTCTCTATACTAATGGGGCACAGACACTTCTCTGTGGAGCAAATTTGAATGTTGCAGGCCAAAACATAAAGTGACCTTTGCGTTAAACCCTTTTCAGTGTTAACATCAGCCAGCCGTCACAAGGGATGATGTCATCATTAATTAAAAGTAGTGGTTAGACATTTTCAGATTTCTTACTGCATCAACAAAAAGCAATGGTGTGTCAAAAGAATGATTTTTATTTTCTAAATTTAATAGTACAAGGCAAAGGGAAAAGTCCAACTATTTTTATTTGTTTGAAGTTGATAAGGTATGTTTGTACAAACTTCCACCACACTCTTTAAATTACAGAATGTATCACAAACTCGTGGTTATATTTAATTTCTATAACCTGTCTGTTTAATAAAAAAAATAATGGTAAATGCCATCCTGTGTATTAAATATTAGTTCCTTGTTTCTCATGTTTAAAGAGCCTGCACTAAAAGTTTTATTTAAACAGTTTCTGTGAAATTAAGCTGAATTAAAGCCCGAAGGAGTGTAAAAGAATTTTACTGTTGTTTGGAAATTGGAGAAAAGTGTGTCAAAGAAAATTTTTTGGTACTCGAATTTATAGGCCACCTTGTACTAAATTGCTTTCCACACTCACTGATTTTAGTGCCATGGAATATCAGCACTATTATCTGTGATGACCACTGAAGAAAATGGAATCATCTTCCACAGTGCTAACTGCATCTTTCAATATTTTGTTATATCAAACTTGAAGATTTACTTAAACCTATACTTCATTTTGGTCTAGTCTTTGTTAAGGAAAGTTTTGATAAAATAATATTATTGTTCTTAAAAGTTTTATACATCCTACTGTTAAACTTAAAGCATTTTATACATTTTTCATTAATACCTCAGGATGTTATTTGAACTAAGGCAATTTTTATTGCGGGCCTGGTAATTAATCAAGAAAATACAGTAATTCTGCTGACTTTCTATATTGTTTTCATGGTCTTGAGCACTTACGTGATGTAAATTGTTTTTCTTTCATATAGAAATTTAGAAATCATTTTAAAACGAAAAAATAACTGCACAAAGTAGTTGGATGGAATATTGGCATTGAAGTCTGGTACAGATCCTGGTTTGACCTTGTTTTGAACAACTTGGTCGTGTTCTGTAACATTTAGACATTTTAAGATATTGTAAATTTAACTATCAATTTGCAAGATTCAGACTTTTGTTACTTTTTAGATGGTTTGCTCTACAGAAGAACAAATTCTAAATATACATGAAATGACAAAAAAACATACAAATGTAACATTACACTGTATAAACAATAGAGTGAGAAAAAAAGCATGATTTGAAAAAGGGTATATGAACAAAATTTTAATATTAAATCACTACTTGTGTCTACTTATAATTTGGTGTTGTAGTTAATTTTTGATCTCAGGTAATTTTTGTTTTTCTTTCGTTTCAACTTCATTAGCATACATTACCATACCCAGAAACAAAAGAAAAACAAAAATTACCTAAGATGAAAAATTAACTACAACATGAACATGGAAGAGGCATTTCTAAGAGTTGTAGAAACCACACTTCATGGCTTTGAAATTGTTTCTCTATGAGCCAGAATTTAGCTTTGTTGTTGCACACATAGAATTTCCAGACCTCCTTTATTCCTTCAAAGATTTTTTTGTTTGAAAATTCTAGTTGTAGCTGCCACAAAAACTGACACATAAATAAGCAAAAAAGAAATTAAGCTTTTTTTATTATCTATTTTCTTCATGTGTCATATTCATGACAATACACTTGTCCTAAAATCTGACAATGGCAAGTTTGTGTTATTTTGAAAGTTTGTTCTGTAGAGCATGGCACCACAACTGATTACATATATGTTGTAGTTAATTTTTTATCTCAGGTGATTTTTGTTTTTCTCTTGTTTTTGGGTATGGTAATGTTGCTAATGAAGTTGCAACAAAAGAAAATTAAAAACTACCTGAGATAAAAAATAAACTAGAACTTAAACACAATCCAAAAATACTTAAGTTAGACAAATTGTTTCACCAATGTTATCCAGTATCAGCAAAAGGAAATAACAACTACATTTCCACCAGTACATTCCAAAATTACAGTGCAGTACCATTCAACTGACCATTGATATGGTAACATTGATACCAAGATTTCCATTATCAGCAAACAAATGTGCAATATTGGTATCAAACACAAGACAATCACTGTTTAAAATAGCAGAAGCAATTCCCTCATGGATACTTCTTGGAGTTGCTTCCCAAGCTAATCGCCTTCTATTTCCATTCAATTCTAGTCGATATACAAAGTTTTCAGCTTGTTTACGTGTTCCAATTAACTGAACAATGGCATAAAACTGTTGGAGTCCTTCGTATTTCTCTTGTTTTTCTAGTACAAGCATGAAGTGATGTCCAAAACAGGACTGCATCATCACCCAGTCAACAGCTCCGGGAAGATTTATGTCAGTAGCAAGGAAAACAATGTCTTCTCCTTGAAGAGTTGTGATAGATTTATGGGCGTGCATAAGATGAGGCATTACTGAGTCCAAAGATCCCTGCCATTTACACGAAGCTCCTGGACAAGGACAAGAGTAGGGTCGAAATTCACAGGATTCTTCGTGTTCTGGTTTTTCAGTGTGTGGCAAGTTAACTTCGCAGCCAGCTGAGGCATATTTGCAAGGAAAAGAAACCGTGTTCGCAACTTTCTCCATGGCTAAATTTCGAATACTTCCTAGAGGACCACGACATGTCGGACAGCATGATAACTTAGGGCGGCAGTTCGAGCAAACTAAATGACCGCTACTACATTGAAGAATAGGAGGCAAAACATAATCAAAACACACAGGGCATTCAAAGATACTTGCTAAGTCGGCATTTGATGGTCCACCTGGTTGGTTTCCGTTTATTCTTGGCGGTTTCTGCGGGGACTGTGAACTTGGCTGGCGATTCATACTATTTTACAGGCTACACTCTTTGACTGAACGGTTTTTAAGGACACATCCTTCTCTTGTCACTTTTAAAATCACAGATACTCCCCTCCACTGTCAAGTAAATCCATTATGATTGTTACTACCCCCAAAATACTGAAAGCCGTAGTAAAATGAAATGAATCTCGCCACATCGATGCCACAAAATATCTCCTCTTAAGCTTCCTTCAGATAATTTGTTTTCGTGTTTCGTAGAACTTAGGAGCCTCGCCTCTTTTTAGATGACGAAGACCGAAGCTTTCCGATTCAGTCCCGAAAACCGACAATTGTCTCGTGATTCCACAGGCAACCCAAGCTCAGCATGGAATTAAAATCATTAATAAAAATCAGGAACCGGCTCCTGTAAAAAATATAAAATTTAAAGATAACTTCGATTATTATTATTTCTTATAAATTTTAATAAGGAAATCACTTCGGTTAAATTCTGTACTGGCGTAGAAAAATTAACCTTACAAAACATCAACATGTCACTCACCCGAAACTCGGGGTTAAAGGAAATAAACGGATCGGGAAAACAACCACATGGCAAGCAAAAACAAGTAAAGTAAATAAGGTAAGGTGCATTCTATTGAAAATTCTAACAATCTAAGTTATCTTTTCTACATTTTTATTTCTGATCAAAGTAAACAGTATATAAAGGGTGAATAAAAAACTGAAACTGAAACTGAAAACAAAATGCCTTGCCTTTTTTGTGATTTGGTTGGAGTCTGATTCATTTACACCTGACTGGTGTAATCGATAATGTCGATAGCAACGCTCAATAATTATCGATAAAATCAGAGTGTCTATTAATGTAGACTCTGGACTACGGCAAATGTCAATCAATCAAAAAAGTGGGCGGCAAAATATAGACTATGGACTCTGGACTCTGGACTCTCGTAGGTGTCCGTGTGTCGGCCGCCACGGGACAAGCTGGCTTGTTGGCAATTCGCAGTGACAGTGGCAATGGCGAGCAAGACCAAGCGTTCTGAATCCGATGCTGTCTGACAAAGTTGGAAGGTGGCCGTACAGTTCAAAAAAAAAAATGCAGACTGGCTGACTTTAAAAAATAGCTTTTATCTGTTAATCAAAAGGCACCTTGTTAGCGGCAACAGCTTGCAGAGGGATTCAACTCCGCGATACACTCTCATTAGTTCCGTAAATAAAGCAAATCCAGAGAATATATGAACAACCATATGAATTTTCTGAATTCCCATGGCACATATTAAGGCATAATTTCCTACCATAAGACCATAAGACAGAAAAAAAGACAGCAAAATCGATCCTTCTCTCCGCCGACGACGGATCATTGACGAAAACAACCACGCGAGGAATAAGCGCTTTCAACTTCGGGCGTTTCCGACAGCCAATCAGATCTTGTGGCATTGTTATAACAGCCAATCAGCGTTACGGCCAAAATCTGGCCGTAACGAGCACAAACGTGAATGAGTTTGGATCAGGCCCAACTTTAGCGCTGGCCGTTACAGAGACGAGAACTGCTAAAATTGGACCTGGTATCAGGTTACGATTGAGGGACTTCTCCATTGTTACAGTAAGTGACCACCCCTCGCAGCCATAAAGTGTGGAAAATAATTCATATTTAAACTGTCCGTCTTCTTTTAAAGTTCGTCATTAGTGATCTTGTTAAGCCAAAATGTAGCAGATCTTACGATCTTCTTATGAAAGACATCGACCTTTCTCATATCTCCGTTAGTTATTCTCCAGCACTCGGAGCCATACAAAAGGACAGCCTTAATATTGCTGTTGTAAAGCCTGATCTTAGTTTTGAGGCTGTATAGCTTCGACTTCCAGATGTTGCAGAGCCGACTGAAAGCACCTCTGGATAGGTTAAGGGGGGCCTTTGATGTTCTTAAAGCCCGAATAGATCCCGGATCCTGAAAAAATACTGAGGACCTCAAATATTGGGAGTATCAGTAAAGTATAAGCTTTGTAACCCCCACCCCACCTCCCGTCAGTCGTCCTTTGTCTCGTCAGGCCACGTTCCTCCTTAAATTCCTCCCAGACCCTCCAAGGAGGAGTGTTGCGCGGCGAAGTACAGCTTGGGCTCGTTACAGCGAGTTTCCCAAACCATTTTCTCATTTCCAGTTTAATGAAACTTCCTCAGAATATCCAAAGTGTTACTGCTTTATTTCGAGATGTTTACAAGCCCTGAAATTAGTCGTAAAGGACAGGAAGCAAGCCTCGAGAAAACACTTCCTAGAAAAGTGAGCAAGGAATACGAAAAATGGATACTAAGGAAAAGACAGTGTTTACTTCATCTTTTTTTTTCACTAGAAATAGTAGACAACAAAGACAACTTTATAATAAGTTAGAGACGCTGTATTCACTAACAGAACACTTTCACCACGATTTTTCTTCACCTCTCCTCCTCCAAACGCCCCTTAAAGACAAGTTTACTTTGCACTGATGGACGTAAATTCCTTTGTAGAAAAAATAACCTAATACTGAAATTTACGTCGCCGTTGAGCGAGCGGAAACGAGTGTATGTTCCAGTATATAGTGAAAGGCTCAACCACTCCAATCTCTCACTTCTTCTGAGTAAACGTCGGTCGCTTTACGAATGCTCGTAATCCTATAAAGCGGGCTTGTCTTAAAAAGAGTTTAAGTGTTCTTTTTTCAGGCCCAGATGAGAGAAACCTGTAAGATTAAATGAACGAGGGAAGTCTCAAGGGTGACATGGAGCCATGGCATTATGAAGACGCTTCACTGCAGATGAAACATGGCTGTGTAAACTTTCATCAAGGCAATCCACTTCCTGTCCAGAGAAAAGAAATCAAATTAACAGTCAGCGAAAATGTCAGTTGGTAATTCCAGAAACTTCACAGAGACTGGACACTAGATGTAGACGAAGGGATTCTTGGGTTCGATCAAGTAGCCAGCATTGGACTGCCAGATGGCTTCTATAAGAAACCGCCGACCAACCATAAGTTCATAATAAATTAGTGTCATAAACCAAAAGGAAATAAATTTCCCACCGTAAAGAGATGCAAAAGCTGACGATCGAAGCGCCAGCCCTTCATTCTCTTCACTAGAGCGATCCGCAGTAAAATGATTGGCGAGATGTTGCGTTACCTTGACTTGTTTCTTCTTCTTAACATACTGTAAAATTCGGAAAATAAGCCCCTCCATGTATACGCCCCTCCAAATCGAAGCCCCTCAAACTAGTAATAACTTGAAAACAGTGCCCTCAAATACAAAGTAAAACAAAGAAAAAACGGTAAATTTCCTTCCAACCATAAGCTAGCCTAATCGAAATTTCCCTCCTTAGATAAGCCCCTTCAAAGATAAGCCCCTCAAAAAGGGCCTTTGAAAAATTTATCCCCGAGGCTTATTTTCGGAATTTTACGGTACCTCGCTTAGTCACTCCCACAGCCTGTGCAGGGAGTCGTGCCTCACCTCGTCGTTAATTCTATTCTTATCATTAAAGAAGGGCAATCTTTCGAGCAGTATAGTTTATTTTATTTCCTGATTTTCTTAGATGTTATTCCCGGCATTGCTAGCTAAGTTGGTCATCTTTGCCGGTTTTATTATCACACCAGATTTTCTATTTATGAGGTGTAGCTGCCCGAGTAAGTCAGCGATCGGAATCTAAATAGTTTACCAGATGCTTCACCAGGACTGGCCTACGACAAAGGAATTCTAAATAGTGTTGGTTCTTACCAGAGTATCAAGGTTGATAACAGCTGTTTGTCCGTCCAGTCGCACGGATATCTGGTCACCTTTTGTGGTTCGAGTTACAGCTTCGTTACCATAAGTTCCCCTTAAAAGTGTCACAAGTCTGGCACAAAGTAAATAGAGATTGTCGATGAGATCAATAGAGCGCTTTCAGATGAAACCGTGGCCCTCATATTGGACAAGGTGACCGAAAACAATGCAAAGAGCGGCTGTTGAACTTTATTTAAGCTAAACCTTTTCTTTTGCTTTGATAACTTACATAACCCCAGGCTATGTGGGTGAAAACGCTCTATAAGTTCGCTCGTTGATCCTAGCAGTGTGCGAAAGCCCAGCTTATAGCTCAGTCGTTGGAGCGCCCAGGCCAGTATCTAGCTGACTGATTTATTCGTACACTTTTGCGTGCACCGACTGATTAAATTTGCACTTTCCTAAGCGTACAAATTAATGAAGGTAAATCTTAGCAAGAAGTGGAAATTCGCGGCTAACAGTGCACTGTCATCCTCTGACATCACAGATTTTGCATGGCTGTCTACTGGGAAACTTTTGGCGGGAATGGCTTTTAATGTTCATGTCGTGTGACCTCGAAGGAACCAATGAAAGCGCGCGCTATATAATTATAACAATTTTGTTTGTACCACTGTTGTGGCATGGTGGATATCACATCTGTCTCCAAAACTTACTTTTCAGGAAACTTGCTCAAGTCAGACTTCTTGGAGCGAGCAACTAAAAAAAAAGAGAAGAAAAACAAAAATGAACAGAATTTACTGATATATTCTTTTTTTTGCTTGTGCTTCATACAATTGAGCGATAACGTTCCCGAAACAGTCCCAAAATGCACTTGTGACAACACCGAACCTTGCTTTCTCAAGCGAAGCAGTCGTAGCGAACATAACAGGCACAAGAACAACAAGTGTTGTGTCAAATGAAAACGACCACTAACGCAGGCGCAACAGATAAACACAAGTGCAAGGGAAGAGAAGGACAAACTTTGATCCTTGAGTTTGCGTCAAGTCCGTTTAAATGGCCAGTGAAACGCCCATGACCAGCATATCTACCCTTGCGATTGTACATGCGCCTTACAACAACAACAACAACAACAACAACAACAAACAAGGAGGTAGATAACGGTATAAGATGTAGTTGCACCGAACACGTTTCTCTGTTGTAAGGAAACAGTCCACAAATAAGTTGTCAGTGGCTTCGAGGTTTTAGCAATGCAGAGCACATAAACCAATCAAGGGATTTAAAAGGTCCTATTTTTTACTCAAAATCATCTGTTCCACTACAGCATGCAACATACATCATAAATCTTAAACGTGTACAAAACAAACGCTGGGGCAAATGCGATATTTTGCTTAAAAAATTAAACTGACTCGTTTAACCACAGTTAAGGTGAATGTCAGGCGAGGTTTCATTGAAGTATAGTAATCACCTTGGGCTGCAGTAGGATTGGATTCAACTTGTAAAATCACTGCTAGAACAGCATCAGCGTACATGTCATTTACGGGATTAGCCACCCACTAAAATGAAAACAGTAACATTAAAATCAATACAGTTTAAGATAGCAACAGTGGCGTCTTGAAAACACAACTTAATTTTGATACCGCGCACAGTCATGTTTTCCCAGCTCTTCTTGGAATATTTGAAAAGAAAATAAACGAAAACAACGTTATACGAGGTTTAGACGACTCATAACAAACATAAGTTGCGGATATAGTGTGGAAACAGAAAAAATTGCGCGTATGCAGTGGAATTCGCTTGCGCTTGAGTGTTTAGTCTCGATCCTTTCTTTCTGATCATATACATTTCATCCGCAATCTTTGTTAAACTTCTTCGCATTGACAATCTTGACATAAATTCGTCGAAACGTCACGTAATGTTCTTCAAATATATTTTTCGAATTCCGCGTTCCTTTTACTAAACCTGCGCACAAGAAATAAGAACAAGACGCAAATGCTTCTACTGTGATGTCGCGCTCTTTTTGGGCAATACCCTGTGTTAATCGTAAGCAAAAAAGAAATGAATGACAGTAATAGTCCGGGATCAGGGGTGCTCAACAACGTTTTGTACGGCAGGCTTCCCCCCCCTCCCCGAGGCTCATACCAGTATTCTTTAATACACCACTTTTGACAAAAAAGGTACCCCTTTCGTAAACCTTCTATTGAAAAATGGTGCCCCTTTCACATGCCTACTAACATTAAGTCTTCTTTTCATTATATGTAGCCTTAAATAAATTTTTATACAGCCATGAGGTGCGTCTGTTCGAAATATTTTAATTGACGGCCCTTTAAATACTTTATAAATCGCAGATTCCCTAGCCTTTCATATGCTTCAACTCGCGAAATTCCTACCCTTTCATACACCTGAAGCTTAAAAATGGTATCCCTTTCGGGCAGTTTACCACAGCACAGTAAATACCTCCACAGTAACGCTTCTTTTCTCTTGAATAATAGTGATTGCTTTAAAAACTTTCAGCGCTAGTTTTCCTCCTTGAAGCGTGAGCTGCTCCACTTCACCAGCTAAGTTCTCTAAGCATTGAAGAAGCAGAGAGAAAGCGCCATGAAAAGCCACTGTCTGCTTCTGCAGAAAACAAAAACAAAACAAATAAAACAAATAAACAAATAAGCCAATTATAGAGTCTGGATACTTTTTCACAAGAAAGGTTTTGCACTTTGCCTCGCCCTAGAAGTGAGAGTCTTTTGAACTCGGAAACGGCCTATTTCTATTCAGTGGATAAATATAGGAAACTATGGTGTTCCTCAAACTCTTGTGCTGCTCTCGACTAAAATATTGGCTTATTGGCTACAAAAGGAAACTTCAAAGATTTTTATAGTAGGGACCTTAAGATCCAAGGACGGCGACGGCAGCGAAAACATCGCTTAAAAAGTGAATTCGCGTTCATTCAATCTTCATCGCGACAGTTCCAACTCACTTACTTTGTCAAATGTAGGCAAACTCTCCTGGAGTTGAATTCCTGAAAAACCATATCCGAGTTCAGAATGAGAAAGAAAATTTCATAGTAGCTTGTTTACGTCCTCCATAAAACGTGAAATTAGGCATTTTCTCGTCGTAGTAATGCAGTGATGGCAAAGAAATGTACAAAAAAGCGTGATACACGTGCAAAGTTGTTGTTTTGCTAATCTTAACCTATTGTTGTTTTGAAGTTCCCGTTGCCGTCGCCGTCGTCGGATCTTAAGGTCCCCATTATTCGAAGTAGCGTGCAGTTATAGTCATCGATTTTATCTATTGTGCTGTGTATTGGCCAATTGGAGGTCGCCTTTAAGGTATTGTGTTCAACTACAAAAAAGAACCGTTTTGGGGGACAAATTTACTGATATTACTCGTAATAGTAAATAAAGAGGCTCATGTAGCAGCTGCTTGGAAGCTGAAAGCCAATTTATAGTTTGCTACCCAAACTGGAAAACAATGGTAAACAATGAATTACTATTGTTTAAAAGAACAAATCATGAAAGACCTTTCGAGCAGCTCCTACACTACCGAATGAAGAAGTATTAGCACCACAAAACAATCCCATGATGGAATGCGAGACAACACCAACCCAATCTCATACACAGGCCAATGATGCCAGGGCTAACAGTACACAAGCCATCTTCACACGAAGGGGTCTACACAAGCTCCTTATGTCCATCAGCTTTGCTCGCTATTTGCCATTTGGCATCTCCAGCAATACACTTTGTTTGCCCCCCCAAAACTTTGCATAACTTCGTTTTTAATTACTCCTGGGTATTACAGTCATACCAAGAGAAATTGAAGGCAATGCTTATGCAACATTTTTTGGGGACAAACAAGATGTATTATGGGAGATGTGCAAATGACGAATTACAAGTCACTTTCCCGTAATCGTCAACTTCGTGGATCCTCATGTGCCGGTCTTCACTGGTTATCATTTCAATTTTACAGCACTTAAGTCATAAAATTGCTAAAAAAAGTTCTTGGTCGGATGGGTACATTTTTTTTAGGTGGGGAGAGGGGAAGGGAGTCAGAACCCCGGACCCTTCCCTTGGATCTGCCGCTGCTGGTCATTTGCATCTTTTACGTGTACACGTGTTTTGATTAGTTTTGTTTTAACAACTATATTGGTCTAAATATCGCTAAATGAATAGACTACAAAAATATCAGCAAACAAAAATAGAATCGGAAAATTCCCGTAGCATTCTTTAGTATTTAATTCAAAATACCTGAGTAAGTACACTTGTTGAAAGTTCAGTGTAATCTGAGGAAAAAAAATAGAAACGTTAACAATTTGTAGAGAGGGTTTTTTAATAGAGGTAGTAGAGGGTGTGAAAGCAACCTCCGCCCAGGCCGTTCGGTTTTATGTAGATATTGATAATGACGCGTTTTATCAACTACGAAGGGAGAGCCAGATGAAAACAAGTGTTTGAGACGTAACAAACGTGGTTGTAAACACTATTCGTTGTTACACACATCATTCGCCACATTAGAAAGGAGAAGGAAACCCGAGTTAACTATTGCAAAGACTCCTGGGAAAGTTACCGGAAACGCGCCGGTCAGCTATTGGCCAATAACAGAGAGGTTAAGCTTCACGTTGACGTCAAACGGCAAACGCGAACTTGTACCACGTGACCAAGTTTCCCCTTTAATTGTCGTTTACTGTTCATTATTTCTACACATATATTAGTAGTTTCACGCAATTTTTTTTTTATCTCTAAGAATTGTTTTGAACCGTTTTTATCTGCTCATTTTCTATTTTGAAAAATTCTCAACTTGAATTTGACGTTTCCCGTTTACGTGAGGCTTAAACTCTCAAATTTTTCCCTGTCCCCAGTAACAGTGCCAGAAGTGTGAAAGGTTTGAACCCAGGAGTCAATTCATAAGTAGGTTGCATATGATCGTCCGGGTCATCGTAGTCCTGGATAGGACTGTTGTTGCCAGTGACTGACGTTTCGACAACCCGTGCGGTAGTTATCTTCAGCGTCAAAATGAATTGTATTACGTCAGTTGATGGTATTAAACTCTGGTTATTGACCAGATTGGTCAATTAAGTCGAGACGTTATTGGTCGTCTGTCAGTTAAGCTATGATGTTATTGGCTATGAAGACTCGTAATGTCATTGGTGCGTTTCGATCCGTCTACTGCCAAGGTAAACAGTATTTTATTGTTAGTAAAATTGTCGTCTGTCCAGTCATTCTCTCGTAGTTGGTTTTCCTAAGTCCGTCAATAAGTCGTTTGTACGGTGCCGGTAACTGTTGACTACAAATCAGTGACGTTTTTTCTAAGTTAAGTAGCTTTCCGAAGTGGGTCGTTGATAGTAGTCTGTGAAATACGTAATACACGTCGCAGAGTCCCAGGTCGATTTGATGTTTCGTCTGTAAATGGTGTTCAGCAATGTGATTATTGACATCACCATTTCTTGTCGCTCGTTTGTGTTCAGTCAGTCGCGTGCTAAGGTTTCTTCCGGTCTCACCGATGTAAGTAGACTGGCAGCCGCAGCATTTGATCTTTATACTGCTCCACGTCTGTCCTCTGGTTGTCTTTGACCTTGACAATAGTAAGCAGTCGTCTTAAAGTGGTTATCGGTTTGTGTGCAGCGGGTGTGTTGTAAGGTTGTAGTTGCTGCTGCGATATTAGCGAATCCCACTGATTGATCGTTTTATTTATAAGGAATGAACAACTCAGGCTGATAAACAATTCGGTAGCTGTCGTGATCACTTTTTCCATGGTTATACCTGAAGGTACATTTATCTCGAGAGGAAGCGGTCACACACAAAAGATTTATTTATTCCAAGGTGAAAGGCCATATCCGACAGGGGAAAGATTCAGTGTAACCACAACTATTTTGAGTGAGTGGATTGAGTACTAATCAAAGCGTAGCCTGTTGAACGCGTTGAGACAGCGGAGTATGGCGGCAAAATAAAGAGTGTGGAGAGAAAACAAAAGGGGTAGAAGTAGGAGAAGGAGAGACATAAGCATGTCATAGGATTTGTTTGTCAGTATTTTCTGAGAAAATTTATCCATTTTACATGATATTTTTTTTCTGCGGCACTTGTGGTTAAACGCACCACTTTTCCATAAACAAGCTCGTTCACTGACTTACTTTGTAAATCATCTGGTCCAATCAAATGATAGTTAAAGCCACGCTTGATAAGAATCCCAGACAAAGGTTTTCCATGTTCAGGCTTTTCCGCCGCTAAACTTCCCATCACCTGACAAGAAAAGCAAAAAAGTACTGACCCTAGCTACAAAACTAGATAACTAGTGACAAATTTGTAGCTCGTCATTAACATTCGATCAGCAGCCTTTCTCGTACGACTAAAGGCGTGTTCAGACGGTTTTGCTGGGTAAGCACGGCTACTTAGCCCTGCTTCAGCAGGCAGTGTCTAGGTTAGGAACGGTTACCGAGAACTCAAACAAAAACCTACAAAAAGTGAACTTTAAGACAGGTTTCTATATGGCTTAATCCGTGAGCGGGCAAGATGAAGCGAATCCTGTATTCTGATCGGCTAGCCGAGCGGACGAGATGGGCCTATCTTGCCCGCTCGGGATTTCCCGCGTCGGTCTTGCAAGAAAAAGTTATCTTTTTGGCCATACAATAAATCCTTTATTGACCAAGCTTGTCCCGTCAAGATGGCTATCTTGACCTCATGCTTGGTCAACAAGGCATATTTACTGTGCCTGGGAACCATATCAGCGCCAACCAACTCTGGACACAGGTCCGGTCATATTTATGGATAAATGATGTCTTCAATTAGCGCAATAAAGTGTTATCTTTTTTTTAGAAGTTTGCGAGACAATGCGTGTCTTGCATATTACCTTTGCCATCTTCTCCCCCCTGAAATAAAGCTCCACACTTTGAGTGTTAGGGGGGTTATGAACCACTACACTCGCGTCCTACAGACAAAATAAAAGGAAAGAATTAGTTTCAAGTCTGTTGTGGTCGCAGTAGTTTTAAGTTTGAGGGCCTGATTACATGCACCGGGTTTGACCAGTTTCTAGAGCTGGCTTGATTTGCTAAGATCTCGCCACATTAGTTAAACGCAACAAAAATCAGCTTAGTGACTACACGACAACCGAGCCTTCCGGGTTCGCTAGGGATCGAGAGAAAATAAGCCCCTGTCTCCCTCTAGCCTCCCCTCGTTTTTTTTTCTTCGTGAATTTTTCTCTCGCGCTCACTATCTGAACGCCTGGAACAGGCTAGCAACGGGACATAACAACGGGACAGCGGGCTACGCACTACTCATGCGCACTGCTTTAATCCCTCTCTGTAAATATGGCGGCTCTGGGCTGGCTCGCTTCGTGTAATATTGGGATAAGCGGCAAATCGAGACAGCCCAGTTCATGTGAATCAGCCAATTAGAAACAAGAGCAGACAAAGCGTTCGAATCGGATATTAAATCAAGTGTCATTAAGATTTTACCGGGTTGTCCTCGTATTCTCGGATAAGAGCAGCCTTGAGTCGGCCCATCTCATTTTGCTCACCGTGTACAAGTACCTAAAGCAATATAAAGTAATAAAAAATATGCCTTAGTATTATGAAGGGTAGAAATTAAATACAGCCATTCCAAAGCAAGAAGAAAAGAAGGAAAAATCAACATGTTTGTGTTCTCTTCACGCGCACAGATTACTATTGCTTTTGCGACCGTTTTTGGGAATTCAGAGAGTTAACGTAAACCCCCTCAAACTCTAAGATCAAAATTTGATTTCTCATTTGTTGTTCCTATTCATTTCCTACAGAGGTAATGGGGAGAGGTTGATAAAATATCAAGCAAATTCATCTTGTGTGATCATGTCCGTAATTCTCATGACCACTCTGTTTTAAAGAGCATTGATATTACAAGGAGAAATTTGATGCTGATCACTCAGGGCATAAAGGGTTAATATCTCTTTTAAATACTACCCTTGGTACTTACAATGTGAGGAGGCTTAAGAATTCGAATGAATTCACTGGTCTGTTCAAAATCAGTGTGAGCTGAAAAGGAAATGTAATCTGCAAAAAACGAAGTAAGCAAAAACATCAATGAATATGGTGGTACACATGAATTTTCTGCTACGCTGAAACAAGAAGTAATTATGATAATTACAAGTTAACTGTACACATGCAAGCTACCCTGTGTCACGAAAAAGACATAAAAATCTTTAAAACATTTCGCTCAGTGCAACGAACCTAGCCGGAGTCGCTTTAAAGAAATGTTCTTTTCTACATATGCTAACGAGCTAACAAAGTCAGACTCATTTGTGGTGAACATGACCTATGATAGGCCGATAAATGTTGGGCGGCTCCGGTTGAGTTCGTAGCACTGTAATCACTGTAATACCGATGTTTCGCGTGGTAAGACTTTTGTCGGAGCGAATCATTCAGATGAAGGAGTCACTGCGCATTGATTCACATCCACTGACAAGGATTCCGGTGCGCCTTGTTCATTCAACTCACGCCTTAGCCATTAGATATCTTACTGGAACACTCTTACTCGTGTTATTTCAAAGCGGTATTATTTACCGATGGAGCACTTCCGTGGAATCTTCTGTCCTGTCATGGTAGCAATCTCTTCAGGTTCAGACATCAATGTCTTGGAACACAAACAAGTACAAAATCATCAACAAAGTAATTACTGTGAATTCTTTAAGGAATAGAGAGAAGTTAAAAAAATCCATAGGTTTGCATTTACGAAGCTAGTTTTTGCGGTGTGTAATCGCAAATTTTTATCGTTAGGATAAAAGAAGGGGAGAAAGAAGGAGAGAAAGGTGGAGAAGAAAGTCCTTTGACTTTCAAAAGTAAGCGGGCTGTCCCATCATCTTTAGAGTCAGACAAGGAGCTACGAAAAATAGAAATTACATGCATGGTATAGAAAAAATAAGATAAAGACAAAGAAGAAAGGAAATAAAACAACAATCAAAAGCAATACACTTACATGTACACAAAGAATGCTAAACCACAACATTCAATTTTAAACTCCTATACCTTCACATTTCCTCAAAACTCAAATTTCAATTTTTCTGTCTGCAAACTTATGCCTATGGGGCAAGAGATTAGAGCAATGGTTTACGTTTAAAACAATTCATGTAATTGAAATAAAGATAATGCCTATACCTTAGCTAGTGTTCCCTCCACGCAGTAGCCAGCAATGATTACACCATTTCTACGATCAGTACACCACTGCTCAAACAGCTCGCGTGACAAACCGCTCTACGAAAAATAGATCAAATAATAAAGAAAATTAAAAAGAAGCGAACATGTTTACCCCATGTTTCGGATACATAACTCGAAAGGATCTGACAGGAACGTAATAAATCTCACCGAAACATTTCGACTGAATTATTCAGCCCCATCAGACGGGACGATTGTGAGTGGTTAAAAAGCAGTGACATGACCGTAGAACGGTCGTTTTAACGTGATTACGGCGGTGCACCATTAATGTTCGGTAGCTCCATTCCCTCGTCCCTGTTAAGCCATGGACGTCAGGCCTTTATCTCTAACGCCTTGCTTGATCTTCCTCCGTCGGAATGATCCTCGATTGCAAAACAGTCGATTTTTCTCAAAATCAGCTTTTCAGAGGCGCGAGATTTTCACGCAAAGCGCGGGAGCCTCTCACTGTCCGTTTTTACTCTCACTTTGACCCGACTCGCGCGCATCCTCGCGCGGGCGTTCCTAACCTACGCGAAAAATAATGGCTGTTTTGCAGGCAAGTGTGATGCTTACATTTTGACGTATGATGGACTGATTATGACGGTCAATTTGTTTCATTCTAGTCCAATCCTTTTAAAGCATTACTTGCGTTTGGTTTAAGGATGGTCACCTTCATTAAAAAAGGAATAATAAAACAAAAAAAATCATTTTATGTAAAGAGATTTCAAAGCTTCCATTTTGGTATTTGATTTCGTTTTTAAGTTCAGCTTCATGAAAATGACTATTTTTGTGGCCATAACCTGCAGCAAAAATTACCACGCCCTTCACAGATTCAAGCAAGGTCACTTTGGTTTGAGGATTCCAGATTAAAAGCAAAAATTTCAAAGACTTTTTTGGTACCGTGAGAAAACACGTCTTTTACACAAACAGCAAAAAACAGTTCTATAGAAGATGGTCATTTACTTATGCCCCCTCCCCCACCCCCCCCCCCCCCCCCCCAAAAAAAAAAAAAAACAAAAAAAAAAAAAAAAAATAAAAACCCAAAACACAAACAAAAATGAACAAAACAAAAAAAAAAAAAAAAAGAAAAACCCAAAACAACCACACGCGCACCATAAACTACGTATTTTTGGCGCCCAAAACCGCAAAAAAAATTTCCCCTCACACTCCAAATTACAAAAAGTGCACTTTGGTTTGTGGACTCTCAAAAAAAAACAAAAATTTCAAAAAACTTTTTTTGTACAGTAAAAAACAACTTTTTTAAAAAAAACCCAAAAAAACATTCCAAAAAAAAATGTAAATTAAATTATCCCCCCCCCCCCCCCCCCCCCCCCCCCAAAAAAAAAAAAAAAAGAAAAGAAAAGAAAATCATGGTATGAGTACTGTAGTCTACAAATTTGAGGGCCTATTCAAAGCATAAATTTCAAAATGAGACCTGCATCATTCCCGGGCTTGCCATCACCACAGACGGTCCAATATCATCAAACTGGTCAATTCCCTAAAGAACAAAAATCACTCTTGATAAACAGTAAAATTAAAGAAGACTGAAATACAAATTTAAAAAAAATACTTGACTAGAGAATGCAAGCTACAGTTCCCAATTATGAAAGACTTGTACATTTTCATGCCCCTGCGAGAAAACGGGGACTCTTATGTTTTAAAGTAGACTGAAATTGAAGAAACTGAAGTTCTCAATTAAGCAGAGAATATAGGTTAAAACTACAGTTCAGCTCAGAAAGACCAGACGATTATCGACGACACCGAACAGCAAACGGGAGGCACATGACGACAACAAAAATGGAATTGCTTACCTTTAGGTTTGATATGTGTTTGAACACAAAAGGATTGGAAATGGCAATCTAGAAACAGCAAATACATTGTAAACAATGCTATCAGGGTTCCCATTAACGCATACTTGTACGTATGCTACAAAAAAAAGGGAAAGGGACGCACACTTCTTTAAGCCCCAGAGTCCTAGGGACGCACAAGGACTGGTTACTACTTGTACATCTTTGCAACCTTTGGCCCCATGTAAGATGAGTACAATCAAGTACAATCAAGGAGAGATTTCAGTTTTATTCTATTTTAATGCAAGAAAGATACAGAACAATGTTTCCAAAGTCATCCCCTCTCCCCCTCCCACTCTTTTAATCACATCCACACAAAGAGAGTTTGGGGATCCTGTAAAAGCAAAAAGGACTCTTAAGTCCCTGGGACTGGAAGTTCTAAGGACCAGTAATTTTCAACACGAGTGGGAACTCTGGCTATGATAATAACATTTGTTGTACTTTCTATTGGGGATAATTCGCGATAAAAGCACAAGGTACTGCACGTAATCGAGAATGCATGAATTAAACCCGGCCTCTGGCAACAGTGACTGAATACAGCGATACAAAAATTGAACAGAGTGTATAGCATGTTTTCTGAATCTTGTAATAATAACGGATATGCTCAAAGCGAATTATACATTTTTACTACAAACATTTTCGGTTTCACTGCTGTTTATTTTTGTACCTTCAGTGTGTTATAGGGTATCTGATATTTTATACCCGCCTAGATTAGCCTACTTGTGGGTTGGGGTAGAGCAGTTTGTAGATTTTCGTCATGAAAAAAGCCTAAATTTTTAATGTTACAATTTGTGTTCTGATGGAAGTAACGTCAACAACAGCAACAACGACAACAACTTTAGTAACACTATTTTAGTGCATTACAACGTATTTGATTTTCTCTACCCGCTTAGATTAGCCTACTTGCGAGTAGGGCAGTATTTTTCGTTGTTAATGTTGAAATATTGAAAAAAAAAACGCCTAATTCTTAATGCTACCATTTGTTTTCTGATGGAAGTAACGTCAACAACAACTTTAGTCACACTATTTAGGAAATGCTGGCAGGAGAGGAAAGAGGGTGCAGAAAAACAGTGCAGTAATTGAAAGGAACAGACCATGAAACTAATACAGGAACAAAAGAGTAGATATTTTAAACAAGTGTCCAGTGACTCCAAACTAGCAGAGCTTCCGAGTTAATTGCTGCAAATTCACAAATAAGGAGAGAAAACGGAAAAGCAATCAAATTTAGAAACCTGAAAGAATAAATTAGCGCCATCATTCAAAAAAGCATCTCCTTCGAATTGGTACCCAATCTCTCCTAAGAAAATTAAAGAAAGGTCCCACATGGACCTGGCGGACGGGTGATAATGATTTTGTTACTGTACTGTGCACAATACCTGTTTCTTTATCTTATCGTTCATGGCATTCACATAAGTCTGGAACACTGAAAAATTGAAATATAGTGGAAGAAGTTTAATAATATGCCTTGTATTGGGTACCTCACATGTACATAATAATTTATGCAAACTTTTAACAAGAACACTGACTTCTGATTTGAATTACAAGAGTATCTTTGGAGTAAAAAAGCTGGATTCAGTTATCGGGATTACATTTGCTATTCTATTAAATAAAAATAAAAGGAACTGCAAGAAAGTGCAAGTAGGAAAATAAAATAATCTTTAACTTGCATTATTTTACACTTGTTGGTTGGAAAACTCAGACTATGGGAAAGTAGCCCATGTTACAGTTGTAGATGGAAACGAGGCTGGGGTTTGATACAACCCTTTCTGCTTCATTACAATGTAAGGAAATCGTGCTGTTCTTACGCTACCTAGTATTTTTAAGTATAACTTCCATAAGGAGAGAAGTTTGTATCAAAACAAGGTCAACCTCAACCTCACATTCATTCAATGGCAAGGATACTAAGAACATTATTGTATAATGGTCTAATGTATGAAGGAAGAACAAATTGAGTGGATTACACACATCTTTTATGAAACCAAACACTCCAGTCCCTTTACTTTAGAAGAAACAGTTACAGAATGACACAAGTACCTGACATGCATTTCTTTGCCAGTTGTGAAGCATAGTAGATTGGAACATCATGTAGCTCTGGGTGATTCTGCCAGTATTCATCTGAACAGAACAAGGTGGGTTGATTAGCTCTTATACAAACAGATAGAGTATTCGGTATGGTCATTGCAAGGCTGTAAGGAAATTTGCAGGCAGACCAATGCTCACATGACTTCATGTTTGACAGAATTGCTGGCATTTAGGTAAGAATTACCTAAGTTGTTAAAACCATGCTTTAAGCTCAATTCTCTTTTCTATCAATCACTTAGATATTATCATATTGAAGTGTTATTTGAGAAAATGTGTAGTACAGCTGAAAATAGCTTAACCCACAAGCAACTGCGTTATCACATGTATATTAATAATAAATTATTAATAGTTATTAATATCATTACAATATTTACATTTCTGGTTCGCAAGTAAGCTAAGAGTGACCAAGCCTGTATGTGATGACTTGGTTTACTTTAAAAAAATCAAATGATTTAGGAGTTAAATAATGTATTTTGCCTACCCAGAATAAGAAGTAGTTCTTGAGCTCTACCAAGAGCAAATACAGGAATTAGACATCGTCCACCACGATTAACAATGTCATGAACAGTACCTAAACAGAAAAAATAATTACTTGTGAGTTAAGTGGTATACCCTGAGCTATCTCACAGACTTTCTCAGCTCTAGATAGGAATAAGTTCACCCAATGAATCTTAGCAGTGTGTAAAAACCTAAAACATTAAACTAACTTTCTTTGGTTACGATCACAAAAAATGTCCAAAAATTTAATAACACATACACCGCACTTGTTTGGTGCTGAACAGCAGTACATGTATAATTTGTAAGCATAACCTTATCAGTTCTTGGACGTTCTACATTAACATCTTAACTTACAGTGCTGTATGGATGGGATAATGAGAGCATGATTTACTATTTTAATTTATAACCATTTGTTTTGTCTTGATCCTCGTGAATCGTCATTTCTATTCCTTTACTTATTTCACTAGACAACATGATACATTAGGATATTTAGGTGTTGTAAGTTTCAGTGTGTTCGACAAAAAAATGTCACTATTCTAATACAACACCTTAGCACTGTACAGTGCACAATCTTCATTTGTTCACTATCCATACACAAATATTTGGTGAAACTTGAGCTTACTTGTAAATCTGTTTTCTCTGTCTTCTCGTTTCTCATGAATATGAGTACCATAAGTTGACTCCTAAGTATTTCAATAATATTAAAAAGTCAATACATTTTGCACCCAAAAATATACAGCACCCTAAAAGCTCAGGAAGAGACTCATTTTGCAGGTCAAATTATCAACAATGCAGATTATCATCAGACAATTAAGGCTGTTTTCCAAGTACCTCTTCACCAATCAGCACACATAGAAAATAAAGTTGAGAATTTCCCCCAGAATCATGTTTAGAGCAGATCAAGCCAATTTTATTTGGTGATGATGACTTAATTGACTTGACTCTTGAAACATGGCTGTACTCTCTATTAATCTCAATTAATAACAATGATTTATTAATAGGGATTAAGCATTGATCATGTCTATAAATAATTATTATTGTTTTTTTTTTTCGTACTCACAATGATAAGGACATCAGGTGAAATACTGGGAATCTCAGCAGCCATAAGATGACGATCTTCTTGGCGGGAAAAATCACCAGTGTAAAGAATCTGTCCAACAAGAAAATAATGAAAGTAGGTATATTTTCCTGGTCAGTATATATGTAATCCTAAATAGGACTGTTGTTGTTAGTGACCAACATTTTGACAACTAACGTGGAAGTAGGTACCTTTACACCGGCAATTTCAATCATGAACATGGATGCACCAAGAACATGACCTGCATGGTAACACCAGAATTTTATTCCATTGACTTCTTTCTCCTGTAAAAGACAATGCCAAGTTATAGATTCTAATGGTTTTAAGCCCCTATTTAATGCAAGGAATTTTTCAAGTGCAAGTTACCCCTAGATGGAACACTGAAAAGGAATGGTACAGCAACTACAACTTTATTTGTTGTAGGTAAAATCTGTTCTCACCGCAACGAGGAATCAACTGATCAATAAGGGTAAGCTTTTTGCTAGGTTTTTAACTTAATATGTGAGTTGAAATAATTATGAAATGAATCATTATTTTACACCATTTTATTTTTTTTTATATTGAAAATTTTCTCATGTTTGTACTGGTATACATTGACTATAAGTTTAAAAAAGCATACAAAAAAATCATACTCTGTCATAATATATCAAACGATATTGCTAAGTTGTAGTTTGTCAAAATTTAATAATCTATATTATCATTATTTTATTTATTATAAGGTAAATCGAGGGTACCCCTTTTACTTCTAGTCTGAGTTAAGGTGGTATGATTTTTCGCTTTAATGTTTTAATTTGTGCTGTAATCCTTTGGTGTTACCAATCAAATGTACCTATTTCCACAATTGATAGATCTTTACTTTGCATGTTACTTTTTTTAGTTTATTAGCATTTATACGTGTATAAATGAATTTGAATTTTTTTGGTATATTTTCTCTCTGGCCACTGTAATGAGAAAGGGTTTACAGTTTCCATACCTGGTGAAAATGAATTGTTTCAATCTTGTCCATGCTTTTTTCCAGGTCTGATTCAGTGTACAGCATGTCTTCTGTTGCAATGTTACTGATTTACACATACAAAAAGTACACGCCATTATCAGTTACTTCAACATACACTGTGAATGACAACAGTATCAGACAGCACCAAATACACATACCAGAATATCTGTGTAACAAGGGAAAAGGAAAACCAAAGGACAAGAGAAGAAAGACTTGCTTACAAAGAATAGGATGATTTTAGGGCAAAGTAAACCTTGAGTAAGAGGAGAAGACTTGCTTACGAGGAATATGATGATTTTAGGGCAAGGTAGACCTTGAAAAAGAGAAGAAGACTTGCTTACAAAGAATAGAATGATTTTAGGATGTAAACCTTGATCTAGATACAGGGTACCTCTAGCAAGTTCTAAGGTACATGAGTCAAACTTTAATAAACCATGGACAACATGTTTATTATTATGCACCATGACAATTTTAAATTGCTTACCTAACTTTGACATAATCTGAGAGTAACCATCTGAATAAGGAATTAATGAAATATATTTCATTTATTTATACAGTAAAGAGCCATTCAGTTACATAATTTATTTGCATGACAATCATATACTTTGCAACATACACTATTGTACAGTTAATTGTCTGTAACACAAATATCTTTATGACAAGGATTTAATAAGAAAAAATTTGTCCCAATAAAAACAAGCACAAGTCTAGGTACCTGCTTGAAGAGTAAAACTGAAATGTGGCTAACTACTGTACACATGGTATGAAAGGTTTACATAAGGCAAGAAAGGTGAGAATCATGTGATGCTTTGGAGAATTACTGGAAGCTTTAGCAACCACTTACCATTGTAAAAGTAAAAGTACTTTGAGCTTAACAATGATCTACATGTATTTACTACTGTACGAGCCTTGATTCCAAGGGTGAGGAGAGCAGAGTGCACTGGGGACAAGTGAGGAAAGAACTGTAGTGCTGTCTTAGCCAAGGGCTCATTAACCCCAGTTTAGAACTAAATCTTATAATAGTTATAAGCAAATTAATATACCAGCAGTAATTTCTTTATTTATCAAATTAATGTTAATAAATTAATGTCAATTATTATTATTTAAAAGAATAACAGTAGAAAAAAGTGCTGTAAAGAGAGAAAAATAATTTTGTCTACTAAGGTACTATAATATGTTCAAATACCTGTATATTGCTTTGGTTGCATGTGTCATGAACACCCTTCCTTTAAAAGTAGTCTAAATAAATAAATATGTTAAGTTTATATTATTATTATTGGATACATTATTTTCTGGAATCCAACTGATGTGAAAAAAGTTTCACTTTTTAAAATATAGCAATTAGTATGACATAGCCCCATTAAACTACTCTAAACATTTGGAATTCCAGCCACAGTCAAATAGGAAATTCTGATATTTCTGAAGTATATCATGTAAAAATCATGCTACTATTTGTCTATACTACTACCCACAAAAGGTTTGTAATTTTCACATGTAGGTATTTCAAATTAAGCTGAAATACCACTGCTCAGCCAATCAAATTGCAGTAATTTCTCACGTAGTAGTATAAATTTATTTATTTTTAATTGATAAATCAATTCTTGTACCTTTTCTAGAAACCAAGGAAGAGCCCCACAATGATCCAAGTGAAAACTAAAAATGCAAAAAAGCAAAAACAAATGATTACATGCATTTAAAAGATCTCTAACAGTCACGTTGCAGAGGTGCTGTTTAATGTTGCATAAATGTATAACACTTCAAGCTGTATGGCACATACATATAAATGACAAGGCATCTTGCTCTCAAATTGCAACTTGAGCTGTAGGCAGCATGAGAATTACAATAATTTTTGAACACCCACTACACAATAGGGATAGTTTAATCTGAAGATAGAAGCCAAGGATTTTTTACACAGTACTAACCAGCCCAAAATACTCTCTAAGATAGGACTGGTACTATACATGCAATGTAAAGTGTATGCCCATCTTTGAGAGCAGTCAGTCTTATGCACCAGCTCTTGGTGTCTGTCTTAGGGAGTTGCTATATTACAGAATGATGATATTACAGCGACTAAGATTTTAAGTTACTGGGTATAATAAATGATAGTGGAAAATACAATCACGTAGAACAGCTAAGAAGTTCTTTAAGTTCTTTTTTTCCTTTTTGCTTCTAATGCAAGTAGCCACGGGTCATGCTTATGATAACAGTGCAGTGGAAATCTCCAGTCTCCAGCCCTTAGTGACAGCCTTGCTTCACACTTACTGACTGACAAGAAGGAGGTCAATTTCTGCTGTGTCAATTTCATCAAGAAAAGGAAGTGATTCCATTCCAGACATTCCAGGATGAATGCCGCAGTCCAGCTGGAACAAAAAGGGTAACAAGTTAATGAATCTTAAGACTTTTTTAGACAATAAACAACTACATGGCATTACTTACTACTTGTAGCTTTCAGACGGGTGTAACTTGCAATTTTCCATTTTTCTCACAATAAAATGGATAACAAACATTATACTTGGTTGATGAACGTCAGTTTTTAATCCCCACACAGTTATTCTCTTTGCTGACGAATTTTCCATCCAAAACTAATACAATGTATAGAGTCATAAAATTTCACAAAAATACCAGCTGCTTTAATTAATTCTACACCAGTCTGTAACCCTTGCATGCTTACTTCATAATGCACTAACTCCAGGAAATGTGGGCTTCTAAAAAAATTAAAGAAGCCTGCATAGCAGGTGCTTGGAAGTAATGGAGAAAAGAATGAATGGAGTACGCGATAGAGTCATACGAAGCAAGAGGGAGTGCCTGCCCGAGAGGTGATGAGAAACAATAATATTTTCAAAGGCCTCTTGGGCAGGTACTCCCATTCCCCTTGCATGTCTCTTTTGCACACCCCATTCTTTCTTGCATATTACTTCCAAGCACCGGCTACGCAGGCTCCTATACATCTACACTATACACACCATGACTTTCTTTCCTTTGAACTCCAAGATATGACATGATCGCCCAACCTCCTGCCCAGAACCCCTGTAAAGAACCAATAAGGCAACTGTTCCAAGACATTTAGAGGTACGATTTCCATAAAACCCCATACATTTAATTATGCATGCAGCATTTTCATACTTTTTCCCACAAATAGTTTAATATGAATAGAGTTGAAACATGTATGCATAATAAATGTATGGAGCTGTAGGAAAAATATATTTTTCATTTGAACAGCAGCGTTAGAATCTGCTCTGACGATGACACATTACAGGTCACTTTTAACTTGTTGAAAGTACTTGGAATTCTTGGCATGTTCTTTTATTTCTCTTACTCAGTCAGTGTCCAGAGAGTCCTGTGGTTAGTCAGGCTACAGTTTGACACTAAATGAACATGTTGTCAATAGAAGACAAAGAAAAAGGGGTGTCTGTTAAATTCTGATAGGAAACGCGTGCGTGTCAAAAGCTCGGGAATAGCCTGGGGATGGCAATTGCCCATCCCCCCGGCAGCGTACAATCTGCAAATGCCCCACCCCCGGAATGCAACAAATGCCTCACAGTAGCCCGGGTGGACGGCGGCGGGGGGGCGCTGGGTGTAGACTGTTCACAGTCCCCTATTTTTCCATGAAATAGTTGAGATATAGTGGGTCTTACCGGCTGCCACCTTGCATGAGTGTCAAAACTACTTAGGGGACGGGGGGTGGTTTGGGAGGAAGTGATAAAAATAGAGGGACTGTAATAACATTACTGCAGCTCACGTTCAGGAGACGTGACAGGAATTTCACACCTTTTGCCATTCATTAATTAAGAAACTCTGCTGGCGATGAAAAACATAGCATTGATTTCGCGTATTTTCAAATATCTCCTTTGGAAACAGTGATTTTAGACAGTTTCTGGGATATCCCTCCAAATCAAATCGGAAAATACTCACAGGTCAAGCATTTTCCTAATCAAAGCGCTAAGCATGCTCACTTCACCACAGATTAAAACTGTTAACCCGCACGATAAAAAGCCAGGCATTTCTGACAGGTCATCTTTTTGTGTCGGCATAGCGTTAAATTTCAATTCGTTTGGCAGAAACTGTGTTACAACATTCCCTTGGCCGGGCTGCTTCAAAAGCATGTTTTTTACGTGATTCATCCGCAAAATACCAAAAATCCTTCGTGTGTTTGCGCAAGATGTGCATTACGGTATGTTTTATAGAAAAGACGACTTGTCAATGGCTTGTCAGTGTCCGCTATTTAAACTAAACCCTGTTGTCAATGCAAATTAACATCTATTGTCTAATGACCAATCAAATGCCTGCGTTGCTGGTACAACGCGCTCCGTGAATGTGAGCTGCAGTGATGTTATTACAGTCCCTCTGTTTTTCTCACCTCCCTCCCCCTAGAGCTATAATCCCCGACGCCCACCCCGCACATTTTAAAGTCAAGTTGGCCGCCATTAACGGTAAGACGCGCTATATCTTACCCTGCTAGCAGAGTCGCTCCGATCTTTCCTAGATTAGTCAGGAAAGAGGACAATCGAAGGAGACTCTGTTCGCAGGGACGACCTCACTGAAAAATAGGGGACTGTGAACAGTCTAAGCTGGGCGCAGCTGGAATTGACTGATGCATAAAACTACACGCATGCACGTGTTCAGAACCACTAACAGAACGAAAAACGCATAGGGCTTGAAGTTTGTGATCGATCGGCAATATAAGTGTATATGAAATTTTAAATCCGAGTTATATTTTTTACTTTACCCCTGTTTTGTTGTATTCAATTTCACTAAGTTTTGTACATTCCTCAAAGCACCAAAGCACGCGTTTCTTGGGCATGGATCAAATTGAGCAGTTATTGAGTACAATGTACGAAAGCTACGACGATCAAACTACTACACTATTACGTTGGCGGCTAAAACAAGAGTACCAAAACTTACAATGGAGTTATTTTCAGCAAGTCACTCTCCTCTGGCGGAACATTTGAATCGGGTTTTCTTTTCACCGCAGCACCCGCCATTTTGATTTTGGCATCTTCATAAACGAGCCCGCGTTTAATTACACTGTGTAATGTTCACGAAACGTCTCTCTTCTCCTAGTAGTGTAGTCCTGAATAAATCCTAAATAGTGTTTTGGCTGATAGTGACTGACGCTTTGACAACTTGTGTGATACCGTAACCGGTTTCCAAAGCAACCATCCTCTGAAAGTAGCGACCCTTTGAAAGTAGCGATAAAATTTCACGGGTATTACATTATGCCAAAAGTAGCGACCCTCCGAAAGTAGCGACTTTTCTGTTGATTTCAGAAGCTCTAATTTTCAACCTACCTCCCTCCCGGATCCATGTAGCCTAAGCCACACACAGATTGATCTCCTTAATTTCGGGTTTTAATTCGGATTTTCCCACCCTGAGCATCTCTGTTATTTTTATATGGGTGTTGCCCCCGGAATTGAGAAGTGTGCCTCCGCAAAGGCACATGCATCAAACGAATTGAAATTCATCCACAACGCGGGTTATGCAATGTTTAGCCTCATTCACGGATAGCTTTATCTAGAAACATTTTACAATCATAGACTAAAGCTTGGGACAACACTCAATCGCGCAAATAAAACTGCTCAGTCCCTGCCCCCATCCCACGTTGGTTCGATACGTGTACTTGTAATTTTTCCTGAGTTTCAACATTGCATTTCGGGGAAGCGGGTGGGAGGAACGGCAAGGAAAAATGATTGCAATACTCACTCAGGCCCGTAACCAGGGGGGGTGCACGAGGTGCGTTCGCACCCCCCCCCCCTTCCCCACAGGCCCCAAAGGTCCGCATTTTGATACTCGATATCCAAGTTAAGGCGTGCAGTCGGTTAAACTGAAGTTTCAAACTTAACAGTGATATTTAAACAAAATCAAAGAATGGAAAAAGCAGTGGTGTATTCGCTGGGAAAATAAAACCAGCTACACTCTAGTAGCCCGAGCCATTCAGAGCATTTCAATGAGCGCACAGATGTCCGAGCTTATGTAAATGAATAATGAAATTAACGTGCGCAGGCCCCGGGGCGCAGCACGCTTTGCACGGGAGTTCACGACGAGCGAGACAATGACAAGGGAGTGATCTCACGATTTTTGTCAGACACATCCGCTAACGCGTCGGGTAGTATTCTCTATTTGTACGACCGCATGAACGCCTGAAGATGCAAAATTAGTTTTTTGTGTAATACGTTATGGGTAGGAGAGAACAGGAAAATAGAAAGAGGATGGCTGCACCTAAATCTTGCCAGTCTCTCGATACAACACAGGAAAAAATAAGGGATTCCCATTTTTGGATATTTTAGGGTATTTAAAGAATACCCACAAAAATCCCAAATTTGGAAGAGTGAGACATGTCCCAATCTGGGAACTTAGTTGGGAATTCCCCGGTTGGGACTTGTCTCACTTTGCCAAATTTGGGATTTTTATGGGTATTCTTTAAATACCCTAAAATATCCAAAAATGGGAATACGTTATTTTTTCCTGTGTGTAAAGTACCCCGTCAAGAGCCATCAGACGCTGACAATGACAGTGCAGTCTGCGATGACAGCCCAGCTGAAACCACGACTTCAGATCTATCTCAGTTAACTACAGTTTTACAGCGAGATATAAACGGTAAAGCATACTCATTTTCGCAATGTCCACCAGTCTTGATCCCATTATTATGCTCTGAGATTTAGTCGCTACACCCACGGAGGCTGGAGCTCGGAACTGTTCTGACGAATTAGTTCCGCAGTATTTTGATGTATCATTTTACATCGTAAAATTACTCCTTTATAACAGTTGTATTCGAAAAATGTAATATTCAGGTCCTACCGTGTACTTTGCCGTTACAATTTCTCATGTATTGCTACTTTCCCAAACAAACGGATCAGACGATAAAAAATACATTTCCGTAGTTGGGTCCGCTTTGGCCTCGTTAGCACCCCCCCACATAAAATCCTGGTTACGGGCCTGTCACTCAAACTTCCATCGTAAAAAATACATGGCGTTGCTGCATATTTGTCTTTTAAAAGGATTACAGTCTCTCAGAAGTCTTAGAGATTCTTCCCTTACTAAAGTTTGAAAGTCACAAGTCAGCGGATAGGTGAAAGAAGTCAAACGCAGTCAAACGTCGGAAGCGTTTTTCAGTTTATTTAGTGAGCTTTTATTTGTCTAACTACGTGAAAACATAGGCAACGGTTAATTTAAAAACATCATTTAAGAAATTGTTCCAATTGTTTAGGTTCACGCTAACCAAAACTTCAGAACACAAGGGTAACTGGAAACCTTAGTTAAACATACCAGATTGCGCATGCTAGCTACATATAGACATATCTTAGTGCAAGACGAAACCTCGATCTGTCTTGTTTCACAAGATTTACTAAAGTTAAGGGCTTTCAAATAACACTGCTTAATAAAAATAAGGACCTGGCGCAAGTTAATGTTTTGTGTGCCACAGGAGCTTTCACGACTCGTCGATGATGCCTGCACTGCACTATTAACTGCAGGTTTGACTTTATTCTGGTTCAGTCACTGATGGTTCTTGGCAGCACTTAGATTGAGTGAATCAGTGATACAGTTTTCCTGATTTCTTTTAACACATATGTTATAATTAATGCAATTCAAGTGCTATTCGCGGGTAGAGCAGTTTCGTAAATTTTCTTTTAAAACTACTGAAATAAAATGCTGAAATACTGAAATACTCGAGTCATTGGGCCTTATAACACTTCCTTAACAGGCAGTACAGATGGAACCTGGAAGCCTTGAGCTTATATAAACATACTAAATGTTACATGTGTGCTATCTTCTCGATAAAAACACACTGAGGCAAGTAGACTAGCACCGCTGAGAGAACACAGAGTAACTGTTTTATAACTATTTTTTTACTTTAATTCGCACTGGATCGCTCTCATTTAAAATGCTCCCGGCATTCAATAGTGGAATTCACTCAGTGTTGCCAGTAGTGTTGAGCACTTATCCGCGTATCTAGTATCTTACTTCTAATCTAGGAAATGCTACCATTTGTTTTTCACTTCTTGATAAGAAGACCGTTTGACCCGTGTTTACTTTTCGGGTTGGAGTCACTGATTATCACAGCAGACTTCTTCCGCTATAAGTTTACACTTTACCAATTTATGGCACAATGCGTCATACAAATCCTGGTAGGTACCATCGGAGCCCTTGCTCTGCTTCCAATCCAATAACATTTTAAAAGCTTTCTCTGATAGTTTCTCATTTTCTTTATGATATGCGGTTATTCTTGCTTGGTCAATTCCCAGTCGACGCCCCACTTTTTGCCAGTTGTCGGCAAGCATGTCGGCAAGCTCCTCTAAATCGTCATCTGAAGGAGTACCTGTCTTGACTGAAATGACAAGGGCACGAAGTTTATTTAGTATTAATTTTTAAACCAAAATGGTATCTAAGCTTTGTCTTGGACGCCTTCCCCCTTCCCATGGAATGTGATACTGAAACGATGAATGAATTAAATATGTTAGGTGCGGTTACACAATATATTTTCCCCAGAGCTCCTCCTGGGGGAAATAGCTTGGGTAAGGCTAACCCTGGGGTTTGATCGCTTTCATATTTGCTGTTACACGCTGATAAGTTGCCCAAGGGAAAGAAAAACTTTGACCCAATTTCGTAGTAATCGTTCTTGTAAAAATAGAGGAGTGACAAAGCACAAGACGTTTCCTGCTATTTTACCCATTTAATAAAACCTTGACAGCAAATAAGTTTAACGATAATAATTCAGTGTTTAACAGTAATTTGAGACCACAAACTCCCTCCCTTTTTCCCTTACTCCCAATCCCCTAGCCCTTTCAACGCCTGTCAGGCTGGCTAACAAAAAAGGACGTCGACTTCATTGAAGCTTTTAAGCCAGGTTTTCCCTTAATTCTTCCTCTTTATATAATTAAGGGAAATTGTCACCCGCCAGTCAAATAACAAGTCCACAAAATTGGCTTAACGATTTCTTAAAGAAAGAATTGTTGACCACTGATGGAGAGAAAACTTCTGTACGTTACAAGGTACGTTTGAATTTATTAAACGTAAGAAAATTCACATTCGTAATCCAAAGTGGTAATCCTATTGTGTTTTCAAGTTTTGATATTAGATGTTTCTGTTGGTTTCCGTCCGCCATATTGGAGCTCATCCAGGTGAGCACCAGCATAGTCCAGCATGGCGTCTCCATACAAATCTCTATAAGTTTGGGTAAAATATTTCTTCGCATATCTCGTTTACGAAATATTTCTCTGACCTGAATTTTGGGGGTGAGGACAAAACATGGACCAGGGGTCCATGGACCCCCTCTTTGGACCGGGTCCATGGACCACTTTCATGGACCGGGTCCATGGACCCCCTGTCATGGACCAGGTCCATGGACAGTTTTTTTATTTTTATAACAAGGTTTTGCACCAGGTCCATGGACTCTCAAAAACAGAAATAGTGCCAAAAAAAGATTTGACGAGACACTGTCGACCAATGCACACGATTGATCACAAATATTTAGTTGTGCTTACATGACCTACACTCTGCTTGCACATGTGCAGTCGCAAGAGTGTTACATTAAGCTAATTCAAAAGTTATCACCAGTACAAAGACTCGCATCACCCTTAGAAAAACAAGCTGGAGTTAAGAATTCATTGCTTTTAGAGCAATCATGACTGAGTCACATCGCAATTCTCCATAGTTGATGTAGCTTCAGTTTAAGCTATAATCCATGCCACTTCTTCTTCTTCGAGATCTGGATCTGCAAATCAGTATCCATGAGAATTTATAATCGTCATGCTAAAAGTGCTAAGGAGCTGGGCCCAGTGTGACAAAACATTGCAGGAAAAAGTGACATGCATGGACAAAAAGAAAGTGGCTTAGAATTATTCAGATCCAGGATGCACTTTGGAGAAATTAAACAACCTAAAACCCTTTTAATCAGCCGCAATAAACAGCTATACATTTTAAAAGAGGTAGAAAATCAGTATGTGTGTCACGACCTCTCAGTATGAAATAAGCGGCAAAAATTCACATTTGCTCAGTCAAAAGGTTTTCCTCCGAAGCATAATCTACCCATCAGAGAAAACAATTCGATAGCTGGAACAAGCACATTTTGGCATGAGGTACCAACCCCACCTTTTTTTTACACTACGTAAGCACAATTAAACATTACTGATCAATCAAGAACTGTTTGTTGTTGTTGTTGTTTTTTAACCTTATTTTTGCACTACTTCTGTTTTGGTTCATTTTCTCATTATTGAAAAAAACTGTCCATGGACCCGGTCCATGAAAGTGGTCCATGGACCCGGTCCAAAGTGGGGGTCCATGGACCCCTGGTCCATGTTTTGTCCTCACCCGAATCTTGGCGAGGGTCTTTGTATATGTACCTCCTTTCATTTCCCAGATTCTGGACTTTATTTGTTGAACGGTTTTGATATTTATTTTGATCTATTTTGAATGGCGTGACGCTGAAAACCAGCAATTGACCTAAGCCACTGGTTTTATGGTTGCTCTGCAGGTGCGTAATTGTCTCATCCACTAGCTTGATTAATTCCTCTTTCAATTTCCCCTTCAGGGCAGTTGGAATCCGTCGCTGAGTTATAATCACCAGTACTTGGTTCGGTGCCGCCATTACTTTAGCTTTAAGAGGGTCGCACCCTCACACTGTTCGGGCGGGCCAAACTCTCCTCATTTTGGCTCTCTTTGTATTACTCAATCTCCAGACAAACTTCGCTGAGAAAGGTTCCTTAGACGATTTAACACATCTAAAAACCGTTGGATAATTTCCTTACTCGTACTGACACGGCATACTTTCGCTTCCTTTAAGCGACATGGAGTGCCTCATACGAAATTCTATTTATTTGTCTTGATTAGTATCATGTGCTGGGAAGCCTGCGCTTCTGTAAGTAGCTTCAAATTCTTTGCTACAACCACAAACTGTACTTTTCCGATTCTTGAGATTTCAAATTATGATTCGCGTCACTCCTACAGGCGCAATTTTTGTTTTGTTCTACATAACCAGGCTTTTGCACGTTGGAGCTAGTTTGGAATTGCTGATAGGTTCTTTCGTGATGATACAGACCTTAAGATCGAGGTTTAGTCATTTTACTGCAAACGACAAACTGCAGTTTGCGGTTAACGGTTTCACGTTAACCGTCTGCCCACATCTGGGAATTAAGATTCGCGGGAGGTAGCTCGCGGCGGTCACGTTAGTATTCACTCATCCACTTCCTTCTATTTTAGCTGAGATATTGTCTTCAAAATTACTTTAAAAAAAAAAATAGAATTCGATAATCAATAAGCAAAAAAGTTCTAAAAGGTCTAATTCTTCTTAAACAGTGGCATTGTGATGTTGTAGGATGCAAAAAACCTTGCGTTAAATCACTTACCTCTGGAGCGTGGACTAGCCGTACAAACGTGACCCTCAAATCGCAAACCTGACGGCAAGGCCCTGGTCACGTGATTTCTTGACGTTCCCGGTTCGTGGGAAATGCCGAAAACTCTCAATCTTAAGGTCTCTGATATTTACTGATGCTCAAAAGTCAGTTTTGAACTTGCCCTCTCGGTTTTCCATTTCCATAAGTGTGAAGATCTCTTTTGCAAAACGAAATTTCGGACATTCTCTACAATCTCTTTTTGTGCTTAGAATAATATAAACTCGATAAACAAGAAGACGATAAGAAATAGCAGCGAAGATAAAGTTTAAGCACGGCAACAGGGAAACGAATCTAACCCGGCTCTACGGGGGAATCCTTACCTGGGTGGTTAATAATTGGTATTCATGACGTATTACTAAAATTAACCAATCTGATGCTTGCAACCCTCGCAACCCTTCCATATAAGCCAACAAATCAAAGACCGTGTTGCTAAGGGTGCGAGTCGACGCATTTGTGGAATGGAGAGCATTCTTTTGATACCTGGTAACCGATTGCATATTAATTTTCAGATGATAAGTAATCGCCTATTATCACACAATCCAAAACAGAATAACAGATTACTCTGACTGAAGTGACACCCACCTCTAGCATTATTATTCGCACGACCCGAGCCTGAGGGTACAGTTCTTCCATTTTGTTCAGGAGGTCGGAACTGCGCAGGACGTGGACAATCAGCTTCTGAAATAAGTAAAGATATTTAATAATTATTGAATGAGGATGAGTATCATCTGAAGAATTATGGAGATCAAGGAGGGTGTTATCTGCCGAGGCCGATTAGGCCGAGCTGGTTATGATGAATGGTGTGTGGGATTTAGCCAATCAGAAGCGGAGAAATATTTTGAATGAATAATAAATTATTCCTATTCTACCGGAGCAGTTTAGTTGCATTATTGTATACAGCCACTAACAATGCAGCCTGTTCATAATTTTTATACATCTGAGCAGAAGTACGCGTTTTGGTGCGGCCATTCGATTCATACGCGAGAAAAAAGGGCGAGAGAAGAGAATGATTTCTAAAATGCCTGTGCATGGGTCACTTTATAGGTTTGGCAAGAGGCCCATAGGCAGCGAGCTCATCCCGGTTCCGGTATCACAAAGTGCCGGAATAGACGTATGTCTAACCCGCTGGTTAGGAAGCTAGTCCATCACAGGGTTACCCTTCAGCTGTTCGTCACCTGCACCTATTTTTATGTCAGGGTGAAAGGAGACAATATAGTGGAGCAAACTTTCGTGACAAAGGACTGAACATCACGACGGCAAGGCTTCAACCTGGAGTAACGTGTAGATTCAAAGTTCGAAGTGTCTGTGTACAGACCGCGCCCCCCCCCCCCCGCCACCCCCCTGAAGATCTACTTGCCATTATTACAAAAAGAGATATCGCTCCAAGAAAAGTTAGACTCCCTTCTTCGATATGTATTTAATGTGGTTTTGGTGCAATAAATTTCGTAATATCGCGAATTTTCGTTTGGGGGGAGGGGGGAAGGGGGGTCTGTACACAGGCTAGAGGGGTTCTGCCATCAGACCTCTAATACATGTGTCTATACGGTTTTATTTATAACAATAGAACGGAAAAGGGAAAAACTTTTTCCGACGAATGCAAAAGAAGGGCCTGTAGTCTCAGCGAAAATAGTGGTCACGTGGTCCCACCTAACATGATTCTATATAATCTGTTGCTACAGGAGCCATAATCGGGTTAGGAGACCGTAACTGGAGACCTTTTCTAGTAATGGAGTGGCCCCATCGAAATAGCCAAATGCGCTATTTTTGCCCTTTCCTCTTACTGCTGGCCCATTACAGCTTCGCGAGGTTTTTGTGATAAACGTATTTCTAGTAAAAATGTTTTATTGCTGGTTTTCAGTGTCACGCCATTCAAAATAGATCAAAATAAAAACCAAAACCGTTCAATAGATAAAGTCCAGAATCTGGGAAATGAAAGGAGGTACATATACAAAGACCCTCGCCAAGATTCAGGTCAGAAGAATATTTCGTATACGAGATATCCGAAGAAATGTTTTACCCAAACTTATAGAGATTTGTATGGAGACGCCATGCTGGTGCTCACCTGGATGAGCTCCAACATGGCGGACGGAAACTAACAAAAACATCTGTTACCGAGTTTTGCTAAAAAAGCGTGAATTCATTCTTCGAGAAACTCATAAACATTAAATCAATACTTTTTCTAATACACGAACTGTTTAAATAGCAAATTTTCCTGAAATAAGTCATTTTTTTAACCTACATGACAGCTCTCTTGGCTGTCATGTAAATGCCGCGTCACGCAAAAGCTTAGAAATTCAAGCGTACTCTATCACAAAACCAAGAACTCTTTTGAAGCGAAAATTTGTGTGAAAATTAGTTTTCCGGCAGCTGCTCTAATGCATCGTGAAAGTAAAATCCCTGTAGGATCGATATTTTTTTAGTTTGAATTTTAGTGACGTCATGTGAAAACCAACATTCTTCCACTGTGCATGCATAATTGCCTATCGAGATATGAAGCACTTGGAAAGTTCAGAGAGCACTCAAATTAAGGCTATGGTCAAATGGCACCGGACCGGCTGAAGCATTTGACCGGCCACTTCGTTCACACGGGACTGTTCAATATTTTCACTCTGTTTACACGGAAACTTGACCGGCTACACGTCCAATTTTGAGTACCGTCAAGGTGGTTCCGTCAGAACAGAACGCCTAAACGCACAAATTGTCAAGTGAACCGGTTGAACATTTCTCTAATGCCGTTTGAACGTTCCTTAAGTCGCACAACGATCACCCATCTCCTGAAATTCCACACGAAAGCCGAAAAAAATTCGCAGGCTCCCGTGCCAGTTTGTGACGTTGAGGGTGGCGCAATTGGTTCTAAAAATAGCACATTTGGCTATTTCGATGGGACTGCGTGGACTCCGCGCTTGCGGTCTCCTACCCCGATTATGGCTCCTGGTTGCTGACCATATAAACAAAAGTGGGAAAGGAGTTTGAAATTGCTTCAGGAATAATTTCAAGCCTCACCTCCATAATGAGGCCACGTTTCGAAAACAGTGGGCTCGCTGAGCATATTAACAGTCAAAGAAGCTGCCATCACACTGGCAAATCGTCTCCAGGCGTCTGATGAAACATTGCTACCGTCTGCGTATTCAGAGATTCCTTTAATCATGATCCACTCAATGTCTAGAGCATGTGAGGCTGCGTAAAGGCCTAAAAATAGAGCAAGTGGGATAAAAGAAAATATAGGCTCGTAAGAACTGGATAACCTTGATATAGTGGTTCCATATTAAGCAGGTTTGCTGACTACATTTAGCTTTTGTCTGAGATGTGTTTGGCAAATTACATTTGGCTTAATAAGAATTAAAACTAGACACGAGCATACAATTCCAAGGTAAAGTTTAGAAAGTTCTCCTCTTTTGTAAAACTTAAAGGGGCTGTGTCACGGCAGTCCATTTCATTTTGTTTAATTTTGCCTATTACTCGCCCTCAATCGCTATGGAACTTAAAGTAAGCAAAGACATTTCATGTAAATGAGAAAATCAGAAATTCGAGATAAACAAATATGTCTCCTGAGCATTATTTTTGAAGTTGCAAACAGCAGGGATAAACTTTGAAAAACTGTTAGGCTGAACAGTTTTCAAAAACCCTAATTTTAATCCGTTTCAATCTTCTTCAGTTTTGCCCATCCGTGGCATCTGTTGTATCCGTTGTGTTATTTCAACCCTCCTTTAACGTTTTAAGCAGTTATTTTTGTTTCTCTTGATCAGGCATTTTGTAATTACCTAATATGGCTGAATTTCGTGACACAGCTCCTTTAAAAGTAGGCCAGAAGACTACGAGCACCATTGTGAAACGTTGGTGTAAATCTAGAGGTCGATAAACGATTTTTTAGTAGTATTTCTTCAAAATTACCTTCTCCTTCCATTTCTATTGCAACAGCGTTTTGGAATCGCTTTCTGAGCTGGGCACATCGTTCTTGACTTTTGACTTCCTCAGGCCCACTCAGAAATACCCCATCGCGGTCTACCTTCACGCGTAATTCACCTGGCTTTTTTAGAGGTGCTTCCCAGCCGTCATCAACACATTTTATGAGGTCCGCAAGATGCTTTTTGGGAGGCACACTGTGACCTAGTTCCTCAATATCACCATTCTCCCCAACTTTGATGGGTGCGTATGTTGTTAGCTTTGCTGAAACTACCACATCTCCTAATTTGGCTTTTTCGCGGTTTAGACTTGCGCAGTACCCCACGTTGATAACAGCTTTTGGCCTTAAGACAGCAACGGCATTTTGAACAGCAACAGTGGAGCCTCCAGGGCCGGTCGAGCCCCCACTGCATTTCATCAAGGCAATTTTTAGCTTTGACTCTTCATCTTCACCAATATCCCCGAAGAACACAAATCCGAGACTTTTGTGATAACTCTTAAAGAATTCAGGGTTCAGGAATGAAAGGCAACTTAAAAACTCCCACTCGTTCACTGTCAGCAACAGAAAGTCTATCGGGAGCTCTATATTCTTCCAAGGTACACTCTTGTTTTTAATTCCCTTTGTCTCGAGTAGAACACGAGTGATCTCTGGTGGACTTTGTTGTCCGGTCATGACGACTCAATTCACCTGTCAAAGGAATTAACAAGGCAGCAATAAACGTTTTTGCTCTCATAAAATTAAGGAGAAGAACAATCTACGTGTTTTCATCCATTTCCATACGTTTAAGTTTGGAAGAAATTCATTAAGATCATTATATTTCACTTCAAATTGTCAAGGAGCCATAGCTTTAACTCCCTTTCACTTACGGCTTTACTTGGTAATACAAATTTTCATGGAAACATCGGTTTGGACTGTAATTTTAGATTTATATTTAAGGCTTTTCATTTAGCACAATCGGGCAAAGCCATTGCTTTAAGGCCCCCGGGGTACTCCCTTATATGGCCTTTACGGGGATTTGCCGCTGGACAGGGTATAGTCCTTGTCCTCTCTTTGTTAAACAGGGTATATAATTTTGCGCGAATCTGTCCTAAACAGGGTATGTAATTTCTTAACAGGGCCCGCGGAGTAGGAGGGGCCAGGAAGGGACTTACCCCTCTTTTTGGCGAAATAAAAATAATAATAATTTCCTTAAATTCTTCGCTAAATTAGTTTTTTGATACAAGACTAAGGATACAGTTTTCGCGCAACAAGGATGTACGTGATGACCAAGTTATCTGTATCATGCAGCTACTAATTTCATTATGCAGCTATTACAGTGAAACCTCTATTAACCGGACCCCCAATTAAGCGGACACTAATCCGGTTCCCGAAATTAACGTCTTATATTTCCCTTTATAACGAACCCCTATTCAGCGGATACCTCTCTATTAAGCGGACGCGGGCACTGAAATAAATTTCTATAGTTAAAAACCTCTATTAAGCAGACACCGGACTGAATTGAACAATACTGAGTAGTACTGGATTACGTCCATGAAATACGTACTGTAGTCGATTATTAAAGATAAATCGATGCATTTAGCTGTCAAAAACTGTAAATTGGGCCAACATCAAGCCGTATGATTGTCATCCGCGATCAAAGTCCACCTCAAGTCTTGCACAAATCAAAGTACAGCACAGCTTCCTTAACAACATAGAACTTTATCACAGTACAGAGTAAGCGTTGAATGTTAATCGTTAACAAACATTGCGCAATTTTTAAAGCTTCTATTAAGCGGACACCCTCTATAAAGCGCCCCCCCACCCCCGCCTTGGGTAGGTCCTGAAGGTGTCCGCTTAATAGAAGTTTCACTGTAATATTATCATCATGATTAGGTAGATATTTAAAGCGGCAGATCAGGCTTAGCACTGCACATTCTTGCTAAAAACATATGCAATTCAGCCTGCAATCCCGTAAACATATAGAGGCACTTGACTTGATCTAAACTTGTGAGCAAAGAATCGGAATGCTGAAAGAAAGCCGAAAAAGAGCGACAGTAATTTCATGCTGTTTCTCAAAAAAAAGGGAAAACACAATGCATTCAACTTTTTGGCTAGAGCATCAATTCGTACTTTGCTAAACCAATTCTGTTGATTGTAGCGTTCTTATATTGCTAGAGCCATATGAAAGAGCTTAGAAAACCCTTCGTACCACTCCCCCACCCACCTCCTTACGTACTTGAATCTAGCAGCCCATCGCACTTGAGAAACTGCTGTGCGGGCCCTGCTTAACAGACTGTCTTGATTGTAAACAGTGTATTGCCTGCACGATTCAGGAGTTTATTTGCTCAAGGAAATTGTACTCCAATTATACAAAAGTAATGACTAAAATGTAAATTTGTTCAATAGAGAGGAGAAGTGTGACATCACATTACCATGGTAGCAAAATTTCTAGATGAAAACAATAGGGAGTTCTTGCAACAGCGACGGCAAACAGCAAAAAAACAATAGGTTTAGATTGGCAGACAAACATCTCTGCACTTGTATTATGCTTTTTTGTACAATTCTTAGCCATTGTTGCGTGACCGCGACATGAAAATTTCACGTGCCCCCTTTGTGGAGTAGGTGAGCACAACACAAAAATTTTGTTTTTCTTTTTCTAAACTTACATAAGGTCCTTTTGGATTTAACCCAGAAAATTTCGCCAACATTTGACAAATAAATGAAATTAAAAATAAGATCAATGAAGTTTGAAACAGTGTGAATCTACTTTTTAAGTGACGTTTTGCTACCATGGGAATGTGACGTAACGACTTTTCCTCTCTATTGCAATTGCCAATTAAAGTCTTTACAACATGCAACAAGCTTGCATTTTGTCCTTTGTCCTAAACAAGGTAATAAAGTTGAGGTTGTTGCCCAAAGCAGGGTATGGATTTCGGGATTGTTTAGTCCACAACAGGCCAGGGTCACGGTTTCAAACCCTCAGCGGCTCACCTATACCCAAATATTGGTCAATTATCCCCTGGGCTTTAAAGGGGCTATGTCATGAGGATATTGCTATTTCTGGTCATTTCTGTGCATTACTGCCGACAACAAACACAAAATGATCCTGTAGAGTTTTGAAGAAAATATCAAACAAATTTCACCAGGGAGCAGGCAGTCATGATATTTTGGTGATTTTTGCAGGCACAGCATAAGTTGTAATCCATCCCTTGCCATCTATGGCAACAGACAACAGGAAAGAGTTTCTATACCTACATATAATATTGCCTTAAATATCAAACTGGATCATTATTTTTGGAATTCAGCTGGTGCCAAAACACGTTTTAAGACGGAATCTACCAGGAAATTGAGTAATTTTAATTTTCAGTGGACAAAAACATTGTACCAGAATAATGTAAAGCATACTGCATTCTTTGTTACATTTTTCAAGGGCTAAAGATGTAACTAGTCATCTGTAAACTAGTAACACCAAAGAAAATTTCTTATGAGAGCCCAAGAAAATGAATGTCAAATAATTACATCTTACACATGTGACATGAAATTTTTGGAATTTTGCCTATGTTTTCACAATTCTTGTGAAATTGGACATTCATTTTCTCGCACTCCCATGAGAAATTTTCTTTGGTGTTATTACAGATGACTATTAAAGTACATCTTTAGCCCTTCAAAAAACGAATGCAGTTCTTTTATAATAATAATAACAATAATGTAAATATTCAAATTATTCTGGTACCAGGTTTTTGCTCACTGAAAATTAAAATTACTCAATTTCCTGGTGGATTCTGTCTCAATTTTTTAAAAAGATTGCAAATAGTGTAACAAAGCAGGATATAGCCCCTTATGTATAAACATATTTAACATATTATTTTTTTAATTTTTTCATGAAGGCGGAAGATACAGTGGAAACTCGATATAAATTTTATAAAACGAACCTCGATCTATACAACGAAGTCCTCAGTGAAACGAACGATTTTCTTTAGCCCCATAATAGTAAAATATATGGAAAAGAACCTCGATATAACGAAGCCTCGTTATAGCGCACAATTTTTGCCAGTCCCTTGGCCTTTCGTTTTTTCGAGGTTCCACTGTGTAAACACAACCTTTAATGGCGACAAGAAAAATTCAGGATCGCCGACTTGCGGACATTCCGCGTCAGCCATCTCACTGTATTCAGCGCATAAATAATAGAAATGGCTAAACTGAGGTAAAGTTTTTGGTTTTATAAATATTTTGAGCAAAATGTAAAGGAAATTAAAAAGCATGTAGACCGTGTCTCAAACATAAGCGTAGTTTGTCGACTTCGATATTTCTTCCTGTTTGCACGATGGATCGTTTCAGGCATAGAGCGTCAATAAAGGGTATCAAAGGGAACTATAAGTAACAGTTAATTACCTCAAAAGATGTAAGATCAAATGATATACCTTTTGTCTCAGTTTATGGCGTCTGAGAATTGGATTGTTAGGGAAGAAGCGAAGATCGTAGTTACCTTGTTGGTGTTTAAGATCGCGTGACGTGACAACAAGCTTTATACTCCCCCGAGTCCGCGGCGCGGCTTTACTCGTACGAGCAGCCTCACTCGAGTCAGTCCTCCAGCTTCCTCCGAATATGGATAGGCAAAAAAAAGCTGAAGAAACTTCCTCGCTAAAGAAGAATCACTTAGATATTTCTTATCATCAAAAAAATGTCGATGAATCAAAGGAACATGAAGGGAAAGTCCCAGGGAAAAATCCCTTCTCGGATGAACGGCTACGTACTTCCCGGAATTCATAAATTATTGCGAGATCCGTGATCACGAATACATACCACGGGAGCTTCTCGGTCTACTCGGTTTTCAAAATGGCGTCAACCCCAGACGAGGTTGATCATTTCATTATTGTGTAATGTTGTTTCTTCATTAAATTTGGACTGTTTTGAACTCAGATTTATTATTTCCATCTTGATCCCAGTTGTGGACACAAGCGTATCCAGTACAAAGTACAAAGTGTAACCGTAGCGACAAGCCTCGGATAATTGGAAAGCCTTTCAACAAACAAAATCTGCCTTTATGGCGGACACTGAGGCACAAAGTACAACAAGAAATTGCAGAAATAAATTGCAGAAATCATAGATAGATAGAACGTTTATTAAAGTGTCATAATTTAGCCCCCAAATAGGGCTTGATGCTTGGGGAAACAGTCACAGAAGATGTAGCCCGAGTATCAGGCCTTCCTAAGGGGGTAGTGGAGGGAAGATTTTAGATGGGGTAGGGGGGAGGGGGGAGAAGAGAAAGGAAGGCGTTTCTCTCCTTCAGCTCTCTCCCTTTTTCGCTTCCATCTTTCCCCTTTTGCCCCAAAACGCCTGATACTCAGGCTACAGAAGATGTCCATATCGCCCTCTCCGCCCCTCCCCCCCGGCGACGGAGGGGGGAGGGGTCCAAAGGGAGGCAACCTTCGAGGGGGTGGGGGGGTGTTATTGAAAGTTTTTTTCGGGAGTTCCGAGTAAGATTCGTGATTTGTTAAAAACCAGCAGCTGCTCCGTTAAGCAAGCTGTCAGTTATTTTACTTTTAACAGTCTTTTAATTTCATCGTTGATTTTTTATTTACGATCGGCTGAATCATCGAATCGGAATGATGAATAAACTTCCGGTTATTTAGCTGTTGCGGTATTATACAAGTGGTGTTCAACCAGGGGGGGGGCCCACGACTCCAATAGCGCCTAGTACTTGTTTCGTGTACATATGATCCACCGATTTATGACATCACATCCGGTTGCAAAGTTGCTGCTCTGTTTTGGCGCGAAGCACCAAGATGGACGCCCGATGCTATTTGGTTTTTTCGTTATTTTAAGCAACAGGCTAACGGAATTATGTCTCTTGAATGCCGAGAATGTTGAGAAGGTATCTAGTCGGCCTTTCAAGCAAATGTCATGACCAAACAAAGAAGATTTAGTATTATTTTAATGATAAATATCATGCAGCTGCGTGGAATGTCATGGCGAGTCTTGCGACGTTTCAAAACGAGTGTCGTTGACGTTTTTCGGCTGGTGCGGCCTATGATTTAGAGAAGTCATCAATCAAAATATAATTTCCTGAGCGGAATAGAATGGGGAAAACGCCGATGGCCACAGTTTAAAGTGTTCACCGCTGGAAGGCTGGATCACGCCCCGTAAAGTTGCAGAAACTTGCACTCAACTGGATGGTTTTGAGGAACGTCATGGTGAGTCTTTCCCTGTTTGTAATCGAGCGTCACTCAAGAGTTTGGCTTTCGCGGCTTCTGATTCATCGAAGTCACCAATCAAAATTGCCTATTCTGAGCGAAATACCGTGGAGAAAAGCTTATAGTCACAGTTTAAAGTGTTAACAGCTGGAAGGCTTGGCACTCGACGTAAAGTTGCTGAAAGCTCTTCTCGCCAGTACGGCTTGAGCAATGTAATGGTGAGTCTTTCTCTGTCTAATCGACCGTCACTTAAGACTTTGGCTTTTGCATCTTCTGATTCACCGAAGTCATCAATCAAAATACCCTATCCTGAGCGAAATACCGTGGACAAAAAGCCTATGGTCACATTTTAAGGTGTTAACAGCTGGAAGGCTTTGCCACTCGACGTAAAGTTGCTGAAAGCTCTACTCAACTACTTTCGAAATTGTCACATGTTGCGTGCTTCTGGAAGGTTAGTGTTGGATTTTTAGCATTTAATTTGCCTTTGAAGATTTATGTTTAGAACAAGCCTTAAGCCCAAAAGTAGTCCAATTTGTCATTATCTGTGAGAAATCAAGAAAGTTTGTGCCCTTCCTTTTTTTCTAAGCTTGCAAGTGTAACGCACCTGAAAAGAAACCCTTATGCACTACAAGTCATATTGTCAAAATGACTAGTTCGAAATTACTCCTTATCTTAACTGATAACTACAACACTTATTTAAAAATGTATCGCTCCCGAACATGTGTTGATTGGTTCTTGACCTTTACAGTTGAAAAAAAAAAAGTATGATTTACAGTGATTATAGTTATGTAATTAATTAGTAAATCAAAAAAGAATGAAATTAAAGTGAAAAACAAAAGAGCTGTTTTAACTGTTTTAGAGGTTTGAAGGTCTGAAGGGATCACTAGAGCTGTAATATGAACCTCAATAAGAGGTCTAGTTACTTTAGAACACGTTAGAAGTTTCCTGCAGCAAAACACATATTTTGGCTTGGTAATTACTTGTATTTCTTGATGTAAATTGCATGCTATGAATTAAGTGTCAGTTAGGGTCATTCATAATGCTGTACTGCACCTTATTTTATCTGATGATTATCTAAGGTATAAAAAATGAATTTTGTGTATTTTTAAAGACTTCAATATATGCTGTCTTACTTTTGAATTTATAAACAATATATATTTAAATCCTACACTGTAAGTCTGGTTGTCTGTGTAGCCTGTGTCGCAGACATAATCTATTGCCGGTCTGCAAAGCCGTGCCAATATTCTGGGCTGCCAATCACAATGTGTTTCGATATTCCCTTCAACCTGATTGGCACACTGATAATGGTATTTTTAAGAGGCCAATCCTAGCACATATGCAAGTGCTAGTTCACAGGTGGGCCACGGGGTGCCCAGAAGCAGGATTTCAGTGCTGTCTCACAGGGGGACTTAACCAGAAGTTTAGTTCTGTCTGTGGCACAGGCTAGTCCTCTGGGCATTAATGTTTAAATTATGTATTTTATGTTGCTTAGCTGGGAAGACAAAAATAGATGACAGAAGAGCACAAACAAGAGAATATCAAGAAGTATTAAAAAGTATATCTACCACACAACTCGTAAAGAGAGGTGAGAGTCCATGAGGACAGAAATGTTGTTACAGAGCCATAAAGCATTTATGTTAAGTACAACTCACTGTCAAAGAAGTTAAAAGGAAGGAAGAATGCTGACATTTCGAGGAATACACTTTTCTGGTTTATGGAAAATCTGCAGCAACAGAAGACACTGAAATCATGTTGAGCTGGTTCAGGATGTCAATTCTGTTTAGATGGAATCCTCTGACAGTATCTAGGCCAGTGTACAGTAGTGTGCTTCGAAGCTGGTCCCTGGTAAGACATTTCTTGACTTTACATGCCAACTCTCTTTCAAGGACCTCAAGGCTAAGTGTCTGTTTCCCTGACATTCACTTTCATGTCAGGGATCAGCAAATTTTAACTAGATGACTGTGTTAACTGTAGTTTTTTTCGTAAGACTTAAAAAACTTCACAGGAAAGACTGAAACTAATGATCTTGCACTAAGCAGCTTTGAAGAAATCAAGGTTTCTGGGGGGGGGGGAGGCTGTGCTGCACATATTTCCCTTGAAGAAACGAAGGCAAACACCCTAGATGTAACTATAGGAAACCAAACTAACCTTGAATTTAACAGAGGGTATTCACTCACTTGGCTTGTTAGTTTGGGACACCAACATGGTCTCTGTTTCATTGTATTGGGACCGTGACGTCATGTGAATACTCTCTATACTTCAGTCAGTTTCTCATGTTTATTTTCCATCCCTAAGCATTCTGTTCCTCCTGTGGAAAGGAGTTGGTGATTGTGTCATGACAACTTCATCCCTTAGTGTTTTTCATCCCTCAATTAATCAGTCAGAGTAAAGGATGGTTAATATGATCCTGATTAGGAGAAGAAAGCTTTCTATTAAAGGCACCATGGTCTAGAAGACCAAATGTAAATCCCTATCTGACCTCACTGACATGGAGAAACAAAAAAGGGATTGGCTGACACCCAGCATAGTGATGTGCAGTATTAAGCTCAACAAGGATACAGGAAAAATCCACAACTGAGAAACTGGTTTTAAGAACCTGTCAGGCTAAAATTTTCCAGTTAGGCTGTCTTTATAAAAGAGCACTCAAATTTGAAACAGGTTATTAATCATAACCATTACAATTTCCTCAAATTTGATTGGTGCATTAACTGCTTTATTTTTCTCTAATCATTGTGTATAGTTGCCTGTAATCGGACGGTTATGTTAGCCAATCATATTAAATGCACTCAGCTAAATCCACCAATCACAGAAGTTGTCATGATAAGCATAGCAACAATCACTTACCCAAACAAACTGGGGATTAATCCAAAATGGATGAATATGCAACATTTAGGCAGTGTCTCCACCAGTGATATTTTCCCTTACTTTGGACGGTTGGTATGAACAAACACTCTTTCACCAAAAAGGAATGCATCTATTTTCTTGGAAATTGTAACGGTTATAATTATTAATTGGTAACAGGACTCTGTGTCGTCCAATTCAATCTGTAATCATACTCATGATTAAACAAATCTGACTCCTGCTTCGTGGTTGTCCAAGTTTGTAACACTTGTATGATTACAGACTGAATTGGACTCCCCTCAGTCCTATTACCATTATTTATAAAATTTCTTAGAAAAAGCTTCTGCACAGTGTACACTTGGGAAAGTAAGATAAGTCAACATTCAGGGTCCTCTTTTGAGACATAGGTGTCTAATAATATTTATTATTACTCTGACTGCAATGTGAGCTGAATGCCACTAAATACTTTTAGCTCAAAGCTACAAAGTATTTTTTTTTCAGAAAATAAGGACCTATTTGAGACTGAACCTAAATAGCCAAAATCTGTGCTAATTAGTTTTTCTTTAAGAACCTGACTTGTTTAGGCTAACTTGGGAAAATACAGGTTCTTGGTTGCAGGTTTTTACTAGTAATTAAATTTGATGGAAAAAAAGATTATCAAAAATTAACATAGCCAGATGAGCTTATTTACAACTCCATTTTTCAGACCTGCAATTTATTTAAGGCTGTCTTTTAAAGGAACCACAAGAACAGCATGTATTTTTATTTTCAGCTTTAATAAATTCCAGACTATTTTAATGATCTGGGGCTGGTTGCTTGAAGCCTGGTTAGCGCTAACCGTTGGTTAAGAGGTATCAAAATGTATAGGTTTCCATGGTATTAAACGCTGGTTAGCACTAACCATGCTTCGAGCAACCCGGGCCTGGTTAGAAAATCCTCTTAACAGATGGAATAGCAAAATGTGAATTAATAAATCCTTTGATCAAACTGTCTTCTGCTTTTCTCTTGCCAAACCATCTTTCCCCACAGAGGAGCAAAGGTTGTAGCAAATCAGAAAAATAAAACAAAGACAAGAGGCTACACCTGAAACCCCTCTTTACTGTTACTTTAACACCCAGGGAGAAGGTTATGGTACTTCTATACAGGTATGTGCCATGGAATAGGGAGTGGGTTTTGAGATGATCAGTCTTTATCCTACACTACTTGGCTTGGCTTTCTGATCCTTTGGTAGGGTTCCTTTGTAAAATTATACTAGCTCACCGTCAGTAGCTAACCTTCAGGGGTTTCAAAATGTTTTAAAGTAGGCAGCCGAATCTGGAGGCTGGGGGCACTGGAATTGCTGGCAACATACAATCAAGTAGCCGATGGAACTCCGGTGGTCACTGGCTTGTTTTGAAACCACTGAAACCTCTGGTAAAAACTGAAGATACATTGATGGGATCAAGATATAAACTTGAGCCGAGAGCTACTGAACAATAAAAAAAAACACTCTTTTCATGCAAATCAAGCCATTTGAAGATTGAAATAGGAGTGTAAACACTTTTTGACACAAAAAAGATGTTTATAATTATCTACATTTACCCAATATTTCCTAGACCTTCACTTGTTGGGGGATTGTGTGTTAAAACAACTTGAACATTGCATTGAAAGCCTGTTGTCAAGGATACAACTAAGAAGAGATGGTATATATTTGACTGTATTTTTCAGTAGATACTGGAAAAGAATCAAAAATGCATTGTGAATCTAAGCACTAAGATTTTGAGCCAAATACAGGATCAAAGGACGTTAGTCAATAACAAGGAATGTGGATATTTTTTTGGAAAAAGGAAATAAATACAGCTTGAATGTCTCAGGGCTGGTTTGCACATTTCTAAAATTCATACATGTAATTTATTGAAAATATTTTGATGTTTCTTTTTTTTAGAACAAAAATAATATCATTGATCAATCAAATAAAGTAGGTGAATAAAATTTCAGTATTTCCTTTAACACTAGAAGAAAAACTGTTGTATACATACTAATTATACACAGCTGTATATCATTATTATTATGGTTCAATTTTATCCCTGCATAATTTTAGTTTCCTTTGTGTCATACTCATTATCATACATTTTCGTACCCAAAAACACAGGAAAAAATTTAAATTGAAGTATAAAGCAAAAAATAAAAATACTGTCCATGTATGGCCAAAAGAAAAAAAATGATCACTGGCTCACTCAAAGCTGCACTGGGTGACTGTTTGTCCTAAAAAGGTTTGAACTCTCTGTTGGATACTCCCTTTTGCCCCACCAGCTACAGGTACATACCCCTCCCCCTCAGGCATGCCATTCAACATTGTAATAAAAGAAGACCACTGTCAACCTTATTAAAAAGTTACAGAGTAAAAACATTGTTATTAGGAAACAGAAAAACCATTCTACTGAAGTGAATTATTGCAGTAACCTTCGAATTTTGGTTCCATCGCTTACATGTATTGTTTCTAGTAACAAAAAGTGCAAGTCTTAAGATGAAATTTTCATATTACAGAACAAAAAATATCCTTCCTTTTTCCAGGGAGGCCATTTTCTCCCAACAACTCCCTACCAGGTAGAAATTTCATTCAAGTTTCATATAAAATACTTTTTGTTTGTTTTGGCCATGAAGACCCCCTCTCCTTACAACTTTTAAGGATCCTAGAATCAAATAATGCAAATATCCCTTATGCACAACTGTCTTACAATATGGATTTTAAGGCTCGGCAAGGGAAAATTGGCAAAAAATATACTTCCAGTCCTTCACATGTAATTGAACTGTCTATCCCCTACCACACAGAGAGAAAATAACTGGCAATGCAATTTTGCTTATCTGTGCAAATTAAGTTTGCTGTCATTAAGTTTCACAATCCCCCATAAGCAACAATGCACTCTGTCATACAGTGTAGGTGTGCTGTTACCACCCCTGAAATCCCCTAAGCAAAAACCTTGCATGCCTCCCTCTAAAACAATAAATTATGATCACAGCAATTGCAGGCATGTGGTATCTTTCTGGTATACTATCGTACTCAAAAAAGGCTACTAGTAATAATAATTGATCAACAAGATTATTGTTTTTGTTATAATATTGTTCTTCTTGGTGTAGGCCCTCTTAATATCTCCACCTCTCCTGGGGCACCACCTCCCAAAGCAAACGGTCTATTCTCTGTCACATTTTTTCTATTTTATGTGTTTCTTACACAATAAAATACAGTTTTAGAGATCCAGTAGAAAGTGCTGTGAGAAAAAGGGTAGTTCTTTCGGATGTTTTACTGCCCTTTTCTAATAGTAACCACCTGTTCTTTAAGAATTCCCCTTTCATCAATCATTTAAAAAATTATCTAATTCTCTTAACTATTAAAAGCTCACGCTCTAACATTGAATAACTCTAATATTTCGCTACTCTACGCTCCTTGTAATTCTCTCACGTGCACTAAAAGAAAAATCAGCAAACCTACTAACCTTATCTATGCGACATCATGCCAGAGGGTCTTCGAACAGCAGAAGACTGAGCCCTTGCAGCAACTTTACGTCGAGTTATAAAGCCTTCCAGCTGTTAACACTTTAAACTGTGACTATAAGCTTTTTCTCCACGGAATTTCGCTCAGGATAGGCAATTTTGATTGATGACTTTGATGAATCAGAAGCCGCGAAAGCCAAACTCTTGAGTGACGCTCGATTACAAACAGCGAAAGACTCACCATGACGTTCCTCAAAACCATGCAGTTGAGTGCAAGTTTCTGCAACTTTACGGGGCGTGATCCAGCCTTCCAGCGGTGAACACTTTAAACTGTGGCCATCGGCGTTTTCCCCATTCTATTCCACTTAGGAAATTATATTTTGATTGATGACTTCTCTAAATCATAGGCCGCACCAGCCGAAAAACGTCAACGACACTCGTTTTGAAACGTCGCAAGACTCGCCATGACATTCCACGCAGCTGCATGATATTTATCATTAAAATAATACTAAATCTTCTTTGTTTGGTCATGACATTTGCTTGAAAGGCCGACTAGATACCTTCTCAACATTCTCGGCATTCAAGAGACATAATTCCGTTAGCCTGTTGCTTAAAATAACGAAAAAACCAAATAGCATCGGGCGTCCATCTTGGTGCTTCGCGCGAAAACAGAGCAGCAACTCTGCAACCGGATGTGATGTCATAAATCGGTGGATCATAGGTACACGAAATTTCGCTAAGTCGTGGGGCCCCCCCCTGTGTTCAACGTACAAATCCTGTTGGGTTCTAGGAAAGACAAGTAAAGAAACCCCACTCGGGGACTCGGCGTTTAGTTTGAATCTAAAAGGTTCTTTTACAGATGGCATCATTTGTGTCGTGTAAGGTATCACCTCCATGTTTCTCAGTGCCTTGCCGTTAATCATTAATTGACAAAGACCTTTACAGGTCTTTACAAGGTAAAATTGAAATTATTAGACGCTGTATTAACATGAATAACTTCTCTATTTCTTTATCGCAGGAACAATCATCTTTCGCATAGTAGTACAGTGCAACAGCATTTTTGACGGAAATAGTCTTTCCAGGGGTTGCTAAACCGAGTTGGAAATTCCAGGGAGTGGCGGTCTGAAAAAAAACCCCTGGAATGGAAATTCGGCGGAGGGTGACGGGTCTAAAGCAAAATTGTCCTGCGTGGAAGGGGGGTATGGATATTTTCTGGAACTAAAAATTCTACTAAAATGCTACAAGCAAAATGAAAACTACAGTGCTAAAATAATTAACATACTTTGAATAAACCCTACACTACTAAGATGCTACAATATTTACAATACTGAAATACCAGGAGCATAGGCTCCCGAAAATACGTATTACAATAAAGATTTAATGGTTGTCTATTCGCACCAAAGTTGCAGCAGTTAAAAATATTAAAATATATATTCTGAAAAATCGAGTTTTCTAATTGCTAAAACAAGCTAAGGTAGTAGATTCTCGCAGGTTTTTATTCAGTTTTGACCATAAGAAGGGTTCAATGTATCTTATTGAATGCTTTCCATAGCGTGTGGTGCAGAAAGTTAGAAAACATACCATAAAAACAAAGTCCAGCATCTAAGGAATGACGACTGCCGCAGGTGGTGGGGTACAGTCAACAGAATGAATGGAATGCGATGGTAAAATCCTGAATGAGGTGGAGTTATGTTTCTGTGAATGGGAACATTCCATCTTTAGATGCCACTAGTACTACCGATGAACTACGTATACCGATAGCCGTTGCTCTTGGCTTTTAGTAGCCAAACTGCACGTTCAAAATCGCCTCGGCAGGGATGGACAGGGGAAAAATCAACCCATGTGAAACCGCCAAAACCAGATTCGCAGGGGAGCCCAGGGAACACTTTCGCTCATTTTCAAAAAAGTGGCAGGAAAAACACGGGTCCCCGTCGAGGGGATTTTCAAAGTGCGGCGTAGCTACTAACCCAAGGTAAATTGGAAGCAAGGACCAACGTTACAAAAACAAGGACCGGATCCTAATAAAGGATCCAATCAGCTATACGTTGAGATATCGAAAAAAAGAAGCAAGGCTGATTTCAAATTGTAACGTCTCAGCTTAACCTCATCATTGTATGTAAGACCCTTAAGAAGGAAGGCCGTGCCTTCCGAAATATTGATAACACCACGAAGAAGTTGAGTACACCACGAAGAAGAGCGGTTCCAAATTTCTCCTCCTATTGAGGTCATGGCTGGATGTTTGGAACTAAATTGACATTTTTCAGGAAGGAAAATCTTCGATCTATGCTCAAGCGAAGATTTGGAGCGATTGGAGTGGAAGAAAGGTAATTTTTGCTACTTTTTCTTTGGGCAGCGTAGGGCAGCCGAGTTTTCCCTTGTCTTCTTCTTAGTAGTGAAAAATCAAAACGTTAAACTTCCTAAAATGGCGTTTATAGGGCAGGAAACAGTAAGAAAACAACACAGACACAACTCTTGATGAGGTATGTATACTTAATAGCTGTTTATGTACATTTTAACTATCTTACGATAAATTTAATTTTTATCGATCCTACGATAAATTCCCATACAAATCTTTATAAATTGGCTTCCAGTAGGCTGTTGTGAGTCTGGGTTCCCTCTGGTGGAATTAATAGCGAGCGTGTATTACTCTTAGCGCCACGAAAAGCTATACGGTATGGTGTGCACCATAGTCTCTCCAAGTATTAATTGCATGCAGCGACCTAGTGAATCGACCACACTTTAAAATCTTGTACTCTTTTTACCCAGGAAGTGGTACGAGACGGTTACGGCAGCACCAGCTGTAAAAATTCTCAGCTACGTTTACGAATTTATCAGACAAGACTGTGTACAGGACTCTGTAAGTCGCTTTCGACGCAGAGCAGCGGTTTCGCAAGCATCAAAGACAGCTCTTCTATTGAAACATTATTTTCTGTGATACCACCTTTGATCAAATCTGCAATAAATGGATATAACTCAGATGAAGTTCAACAAAGAGCTATAAGGCCGTGCGGGATGAAATTTAGCCCACGAAAAATATGCCGTCTTATGGGCTTTTGTTTTCGGCAGTTACTCGCAATATAACAACAAGCAACAGGTAAGCCTGCTGCAATGTTGTGGTCCCATAAATTGAAAAAGTATTGGATGGAGGAATTCATTTGTAATATGATGTACCAAGTAGTAGAAAAGCAATAGAACTGATTCGTTTTATTACTATGTAGCATGAATATAGTTTTTGGCACTCTTAAGTCATTTTGAATGAAAATCTACTCCATTTATCAGTGAGAGTGAAGAGGTTCTTGCAAAAACTAGTTGGAACACGCACGTCGTGAACCTGTTCAAAGGCTGATAGAGACGTGACCGTGAGCAATTTGATTTGAAAGGCGACATCATCAGTGTCTGAAAGTCTTCTAAGATGGAACCCTAGCTTCTGATCAGATGTGAGGAATATTATATTTTTTATCCAACTGTGGACCTTACTATCGAAAAAGATAATATAAAATTGTGTAAATCACGGAAAAATTGAATACCATCTGCAGTCCTTGAATTCGAGACCACTGATTGTTCGGCATTACTGGCACAGCTGCTTGGCAACACTTTACTTGTTTTTGGAGGCGACTCTAGGGATAAAAAGGAAGTAGAAATTAAAATCGTCAAGAAGTACTTTTAAGAATTGGTCTTATTTTTTGTTTCTTATTTGCGGGAGAAACCGGTTTCCAAATTTTGAAGCTGGAAAGGACGCCCGACTTTGTTTGTATACACCAGGTCACCGGTGTAACGAGCGTTAACATGGGTATCGCTCCTGATTGTCTTTTTACCAGCTGGTAGGCAACATCTGACATACATAGATGAGAAGTGTACTTTTGCCAGTTGATATTTATATCGTTTCAAGACCTGTTGATAAGAATTCTCCTTCTCGCTTTAAAACATTGGACGATGAAGTTGCAGGAGAACCTATAAAAAAATCAGGAACCACACCATAGGTTATTTCGAAAGCATTGGTTTCATATCAGACATGATGTAGACATAACTTGATAGACACAATGACGTAACTTGACATCACGAAAAAATTGAATAATACCATCTGCAGTCCTTGAACTCGAGACCAATGATTGTTCGGCATTACTGGAACAGCTGCTTAGCAACAATTTAGAACAAAAACTTCCGCTGAGATCCCTATATTTCCTCCATCTTTAATTTTAGTAGTTCTTCATGAAGATTCTTAACCAGAATAAAGACCAAAGTATAAACCTCTTCTTTGGCCGAAGGTTTTTTTGAAGCTTATAGAAAGAAAGCCGGACTTTGTTTTTTTGACACCGGGTCAAAAGTATAACTAGTTTTAACCTGGGTTATCGCTCCTGTTTAATTAACCTGCAAAAACATCCGTTTCTTCTCGCTCTTCGTCGCTGGGGACGTTTCGCACGAAACGTCCCCAGCGACGAAGAGCGAGAAGAAACGGATGTTTTCGCAGGCTACTGTTTTATTTGTGCTTTTGCCAGCTGGTAGGCAACATCTGACATATATAGACGAGAAGTGTACTTTTTCCAGTTGATATTTATATCATTTCAATCACCTGTTGATAGGAATTCTCCTTCTCGCTTTAAAACACTGGACGATGAAGTTGCCGGAGAACCCCAAAAAATCCGGAACCACACCATCAGTTATTTCGAAAGCATTGGTTTCATATCAGACATGGTGTAGACATAACTTGATAGACACAATGACGTAACTGGACGTCATTATGACGTGATATTTTTTAATTTATTAGCAGAATCCAAAATTTCCCTCAAACTAGCCATAAAGGAAAGCATGCTTAAATCGCAAGGTGCCTACGAAAAAATGTTGGCTAACACATATTATATTTTTCAATTAGAAAAACAATAGAAATTCAAATCGTTATCCCTTTTATTATTATGTAGCATGGATATAGTTTTTGGCACCCTTAAGTCATTTGGAATGGAAAGCTGCTCCATTTATCAGTGAGAGTGAAGAGGGTCTTGCAAAACTGGTCGGAACACGCACGTCGTGAACCTTCTCAGCTAGCCGGCTGATAGGAACGTGACCGTGAAGAATTTGATTTTAATGGCGACATCAGCACTCTAGCTCCTGATCAGATGTGAGGAATATTATATTTTTTTTATCCAACTGTGGACCTTACTATCGAAAAAGATAATATAAAATTGTGTAAATCACGAAAAAAAAGAATAATACCATCTACAGTCCTTGAACTCGAGACCACTGATTGTTCGGCATTACTGGCACATCTGCTTGGCAACAATTTACTTGTTTTTTCAGGCGACTCTAGGGATAAAAAGGAGGTAGAAATTAAAATCATCAAGAAGTACTTACAAGAATTGGTCTTATTTCTGGTTTCATATTTGGAGAAGAAACCGGCTTCCAAATTTTGAAGCTTGTAGAAAGGACGCCGGACTTTGTTTTTATGACACCGGGTCAATAGTATAACGAGCTTTAATCTGGGTTATTCCTCCTGTTTGTGCTTTTGCCAGCTGGTAGGCAACATCTGACATATATAGATGAGAAGTGTACTTTTTCCAGTTGATATTTATATCATTTCAATCACCTGATGATAGGAATTCTCCTCTTCGCTTTAAAACACTGGATGATGAAGTTGCCGGAAAACCTTTAAAAAAATCCGGAACCACACCATCGGTTATTTCGAAAGCATTAATTTTCATATCAGACATGATGTAAACATAATTTGATAGACACAATGACAGTACTTTGACGCCATTATGACGGGATATTTTTGGATTTATTCGCAGAATCCAAATTTCCCTCAAAGTAGCCATGAACCAAAACATGCTTAAATAGTGAGGTGCCTCAGAAAAAAAAATGGTTAATTGGTTCTTGTCGCCGTCGTCGAAAGAAAGGGACTGGAACCATCCATTATTTAGAATAGACCATTTTGAACTAATTAAACGTATCCTATTTTACTTAAAAAACCTATTAATCGAGGTAATAGTGAGAGAAAATTTTATCTGTGTAAAAAATGGGATGCTTGGGAAGCAATTGGCAACTAATGAAATTCAGAGAGAAATGAACTCTGCTGAATATTGTAACCAGCATTTGTCATTGGGTCATTTAAAATTCATGTTTTTTTCTCAAATTAGTCACTTAAAAGCCTGGATTAAATGAACAGTTATAATATGTTTGATAAAATAATGCTAAATTAAGTGTAATATAACGACTCAATAAGTAAAGGTTGAAATAAACCTTTCTTTATAGAAAAAATGCAAATTTTGAAAAACCATGGCTGTCTAAAGTCGGTTGCCATGGTAACATCAGTGTTGAGGTACACGTTACAACGACTTGAAAAGTTTGGCGATCATAGCTTGAACGGTTTTGATGTTATCCAACTTTTTAGGGAGGGGTACCTCAAAAGCTCTCCGGTCTGAGTAGGGTTAAGAGGAGTTTATTAAGAACTGTGATCAGCTACTGGATTCTAGCCCGTGTGACAGCACTCTGACGTTAAAGTCGGAGACAGTTATTAGGTGCAATCATCAAATGACGTAATACAAGGGCCGAACAATACCCACACCTTTCCGCAACACCAGTTTTTGGCTTGACTCGTTATTTTGTCAGGTCGGTGTCTTTTAGTAAAATTAATATAAAGCAATGTTTGGTTTTGTGATTCTAAGAATTACTCTACTCTATCGCTTTGTAGTACCTTAGTAATTCCACCTCGATCTTTCTTCATTCGCTCTGACGAAGAGCGAGCGCTCAAAACAACAGCTTTTTGATCCAAGCATTTGATTTGTCATGATCAACCAATTAAATTCTTCGACTGACAATTTTAAAAGAATATCAATTCAGTAACCAAATCATATTATGCAACTAGCTAGCGTCCAACCCTAAACAGAGATGGTGGTTTTGAACTTCCCGCGATTCTCAATCATTTGTTTTTACGTGACTTATTCACGAGATAACACCTAGCGTTAATTGGCTGATGAAGACTGTGCGATACAGTCGAAATTTACATGACTTAAATCTCAGACTTTGAGGTTAAAATTCATTTTTTCAACTTAATTTTTCTTTACAGACTCCATGCAGACCAAGCCAATAAACGAAAAGATGTAGGTTGTATCAATGTGATTGCAATTAACATTCTTAATTTCTAGTAAATAACTTGAAACAAGTTAGCATAGCATCATAAAGTGATGTTTTAAAGACAAAACAATTTTTTATAATAACTGGATTATATCTCGCGCGCTGATTGGTTAACTTTTATTATCAATAGGGGGACACACAGAATGATAAAATTTTAATTTATGCAAGACGCGGTCATTTGTCGAACTTCGGCATTCGGCTTCGGATTCGGCATTCGGATTCGGCCTGCGGCTCGTGGATCCACAACACTGACAATGTTATGACGTCATTTTATCATCAATAAGAGGAAGATAAAACAGTGGCGTCAATTTGTTAATACAGTAAAAGGTTTCAGCGTCTGACCATCCACAATACGTGCAGAGATTCCAATGAGATTTCGAAGTCAGTTTTGCATGAGCGAAGTACGGGAAAACCAAGGGAAGTAAGTTAAGAACGAGTTCGTTCTCTCTCGAAAAAAGATTTTAAGATTTTCCAGCTAATCAAAGGGTGCAGAAATGCTAAACCAAACTACAAAATAAGTCTGACTGATTTGTCTCTACCCTTACCTCTAGCGTTATTAGTCACAGGAACCAAGGCCTCTCTGGAAGGTACCGCTGGTGTAGTCTGCTTAAGAAGTCGGGTCTGTGAACATTGACCTGAATTTTGAGACAAGAAACATTTTCCCTATTTTATGCATTCAAGATAAAAAAAATTGTTCAAATGAGGCCTTAAATTGCTGATTTTAGAAAATAAAATTGGAATCCAAGCTTTTCGCCGATCAACGGCATCGTCCCTAATGATGTTGATCGGCTAAAGCTTGAATTCCAATTTTATTTTTTAATCAGCAGTTTAAGGCCCTCATGCTGCTGAGGGACAACATGAACATATTCTAGTTATATCATTTTATATTGTATATACCAACTTATAATAAAACTTACCGCATCTAAGACGTTTTTTGCAAGTTTGGCTATTCGTGTTAAATTTGTTGTCAAAGGAAATACAAATTTGGCGAACCTTAGGCTAGTTCATTATGATAGTGAGGCGATTTCACTGCCATTTCCAAAATGCCGAGAAATCGGGTCATTTTGCATGTGTCTGCACGTAAGCCGGTTCCATTCATAACAGCGGAGGAAATACCGAACAGCAGCAGACGTTCAGACGGAAAGAATTCAGATTTGTATTAGGAATCAACAAGGAATGCAAAATAGGGGCCTGGAGTCACCTAATCAGCTGGGAAAGAGAATTTAAATGTATTGTGCGAAATGAAATACTTTCAGTATGATTTCTGTGTCTGTTACTGACCAAACTTTATTCAACTTCAACTTTATTTAAATTTGAAAATATAGCAAAAGATACATTGGGACTGGCCTGCAGTTAGCGAGGCTATTCGAGGCAGGCCAGGCTACATAATTTACAACAAACTAGACAAATACAAAGAAATTAGGCGTTATATAAGTATATACATTTTACATTAAATAGATACGTTCTACTTAAATGCAAGGACAATAATTAAAGTGAAATTTTAAAAATAAAATAAAATGAAAATAAAGGACAAGAGAATTACTTTTTCATTTTCACGATGATCGTATCCACATCAATATAGGAGTCTTCAGTTTCAAGGAAATCGAGTAGCATTTCTTTTAGTGATCTTTTAAAAGCTTTTTTCGGTCTTTCTTTAAGAATTTGAGGTATCCCATTCCAAATTTTGACCCCAACACGCGAAAAAGCATTTCGTTTGACATTGAGTCGAGATTCTTTAGTATAAAAATGTTCAGAGGTTGAGGCACGTGTGTTGTAAGTATGAACACTAGAAATTCGAGAGAAGAGTTTCGAAATATTAACCGGAGCAGTGTTTTTATTTACATCATACATAAGGCTACAAACGGATTCATAATATAGAGACTGTAAAGGTAGAATTTTTGCATTGACAAAAAAAGGTATTGCGTGGTCGTTTGTTTCAGCAAAATATATTAAACGCAGTGCGCGTTTTTGAAGGACAAGAATTTGGTCAAGGAAAGTTTTACACGCGTTGCCCCAAGAGATAAGACCATAAGTTAGATAAGGTGTAATAAGTGACTGATAAATATTTAAGAGGGTGCAAGTGGGAACAATATGTCTTAATCTCGCAATTAGCCCAATTGTTTTACTTATTTTATTTGCAACAGAGTGAATATGGGTCTTCCAAGATAGATTTTCATCAATTAACAGTCCAAGATATTTAATAAAGTTTTTGCGTTCAAGGGTAACCTTTTTATTGCTTTCATTGTCAAAAATATTGATCTTTTCTAGCTTCACTTTAAGCTCCGCTACTTCGTCCTTGAGTTCTTTGTTTGCTTTTCTCAATTTTTGTTCACTATTTGTCATGATATTAGAGAGAGTTACCGCTCGCAACTCGCTCGACGTTACCGCACGTGCTCACGTGGCGGTAAATAAACTAAACTAAACAGGGATAAATAAACTAAACAGGGAGAAGAACTCTTTTAAAGCGTCATTAGTCCTGGAAATGATTTCAAGCCTCACCTCCATAATGACGCCACGCTTGGAATACAATGGGATCTTTAAGCATGTGAGCAGTCAATGAAGCCGCCATTACACTGGCAAATTGTCTCCAAGAATTCGCTGGAGGACTGCTACTGTGCGCGTATTCAGAGATACCCTTTATAATAATCCACTCAATGTCTAGATCGTGTGCAGCTGCGTAAAGCCCTAAAAATATAACAAGTGTCATAAAAAGAAAATCACGGTAGGCTCTTCAGAAAGGGCATCCTTTACGAAACGTTTTTGTAACGCCTGAGGTCAAGAAACAATTGCTGATTAATTAGCTCAGTATTACCTTCTCCTTCCATTTCTATTGCAACAGCATTTGGGAACCGCTTTCTGAGTTGGGAGCATCGCCTCTTGCTTTGGACTTCTTCAGGCCCACTCAGAAATACCCCATCGCGGTCTACCTTCACGTCTAATTCACCTGGAGTTTTTAGAGGTGCTTCCCAGCCTTCATCAACACTTTTTATAAGGTCCGAAAGATGCTTTTTTGGGGGCACACTGTGACCAAGTTCCTCAATATCACCATTCTCTTGGATTCTTGCAGCTGCGTATGTTGTTAGATTTGCTGAAACTACAACATCTCCTAGTTTGGCATTTTGGTGGTTCAAACTTGCACAGTAACCCACGCTGATAACAGCTTTAGGCCTTAAGGCACCGACGACATTTTTAACAACAACAGTGGAGCCTCCAGGACCGGCAGAGCCCGCATTGCATTTTATCAAGGCAATTTTTAGTTTCGTGGCTTCATCTTCACCAATATACCCAAAGTACACACATCCTACTCTTTTGTGATAACTCTTGGTAAATCCACGATTCAGGAATGAAAGGCTACTTAAAAACTCGCATTCTTTCATTGTCAGCAGCAGAAAGTCTATCGGGAGCTCTATAATCTCCCAACTTATGCTCTTGCCCTTTAGGTCCTTTGTCTTGAGCAGGGTCATGTTGACTTCCGGTGGATCTTGCGCGCAAGCCATTTTTGACGACCTGATTTGCATGTACCTGTCAATAAATTTACCCAGACAACATAAACTTTATTTATTATACTTTATTTTGCTCTTAGATGTATAAAGTCGAAACAACTTTTAAGATTTTTTGAAGATGAAAAACATTTTAAAAATATACCACAGACAAAGAAAATTAAGTCGCCTAAGAGCGGACATTTCAACTTAATTACTATATCAGTGCACAAAATAGAAATGTTTACTGCCAGACAAAGTTGGTGTGTTTATAGGAAGTTCAAGCTAAAAAATAAAGTAAAAGAAATGAGGTTGATCGAGTCAAACATATTGTCGACTAAAACGTCGGTACTGCGCCGTCTTCCGTTCGGAATATTTAAATATGCTATCCAGTCTGACAAATCGGCGAGCGTCACGTGTCACAAGCAATGAATGTGAAGTGCATTGATGTGAATTTTAGTATTAGTATTTGGCTAAGCGAGCGTCACGAGTCACAAGCAATGAATGTGAAGTGGATTGATGTGAATTTTAGTATTAGTATTTGGTTAATTACCTCAAAAGATACCAGATCAAATGAGATACCTTCAGTCCCAGTTTAAGCAATCCTAAATATGAGTGTTGTTCCTTTGTGATGTGAAGAATCGCGTGACAACAAATTTTGTTATGCAACTCGTTAGAGTAAAGATAGTTTTAGAGTCCTTCTCTTGACTTGGATAAGAGACCAGAAATACATCTACGACCATCCGCAGCTAAATGAAAATGACTTACTCTTTGCTTTCTTAACCTTTCTCATAAAAATATCGATGAATTGAAGGAAATTCTAGGGAAATTTCCCTTGTCAGGCGAATGAATGGTTAAGTACTTCCGGCACTCAGAAATTATTGTGAAATTAACATGTTGTCATGGAAACAGTTCTGCTAATGAAATTTGAACTGCCTGTCGGAACGGGGATCACACTTTTGGACTTGATCCCTGTTGTGAAAACAGAAAGACGGTAAGCATATCGACCACAGCGGACTTCCACAAGTTGTAGATCTTTAAATTAATGATGCCAAGAGAGAATGAGCTCCTTCTCTCTTAATATGCCCATATCATCATTTTGTACCTTAGGAATCTCAATACCCCGCGTTTCTGTAGATCCCTGGCGAAATATTCATTGTATTTATAATATATAGATTTAGCCAAGACTAAAATAACCTGAGAAAACAAACGATATTTTGCGACGTCACCGGTAGTTTTCTCGCGAAATAACGAAACTACTAGCCTCCCCGCAGACGTCCTTTGGGGTTCGTTCGTCACGCATTCATTTCTCCCCCACGGTGAGAGAGAAATGAATGCGTGACGAACGAACTCCAAAGGACGTCTGCGGGGAGCCTACGAAACTACCGGTGACGTCGCGAAATGTCGTCTGTTTTCTCAGGCTAAGACTAAAAGCGAAGCTTCCATTTATATGCTTTTAATTGCTGAAAACCAAAAAATTACAACGAATAACCTTCAACCTGTTTAAATCTAGAAATTTATACTTAACTGATTTTAAAACAAAAAGAGAAAATCATATCACAGCAATAGTCTTGGAAAATAATGGGAAATGGATTTTTCTATGACAGTCTAAAGATGCATGGTGCGAAACTAATTTTCTCTTGCAATCTACACAAAGACGACATTCCCTTGTTACGAATGAGTAACCTTTTTCTCTGCGAGGTCCTATCAGCCTGGGCGAAGTTGAATTTCTCTGCATCGGTTATGGAATTTGCAAAATTTCTCATTTAGTAGATGAGGGTGGGAACCTCCTCGGATATGATGTAATGAAATAGAATTTTCAGGATTTAAATAGGTTAAAATTTGGAAATTTGGGGTCTCGTTTCAGCTGTAAAATTGTTTATAAGTGAGCTACAAAATGAACCGAAGCATGAAGTGAATTCTACTGAAGGAGTAATCAAAAGTGAACTAAAATCTAAAAGTAATATTAATAATTTTATTTATAAGTCTCTACTGTAAAAAAGGAACTTCTTCACCCTTCGGAAGACGGAAAAGTGGCTTAGAGGCCTTCAGGTTAAAAATATAAGTTATAGGAATCGGAAGCATACACTATCGCCTTCAACTGTACGGCATCTACCAGTTTAATTTCTTACTTCGGAGGATTGCCACTTACGATTTTTTACAGAAAATTAACCTTAAGCAATATGATATAAATGTTGTTTTTGACAACGAGAAATTAAGATTAAATATTTCTGAGATGTTCTGCAACAAACGTTTTTGGAACGATGTTAAACAATATTTATTTCAAAGGACCTCAAGAGCAATGCTGCATTAACTAATCTTCATCTGATGGGGGTGTCTTTGAAGTTGCAACCTCTACAGCCATCGACCAGGGAGATATCATTATTACTCACGCAAACTTTTAGCTGGATCGTCTCCTTAAGGGTAAGCTAAATTCCCTCATTGAGATCAAAAGACACGTAGCAGTTCCCTGTTTCTTCGACCACCATTTCAAACAAATGGAAAATTTTCCTTTTTTTAAATTTGTTGGCTTGAACCTGTTATCCTCTATAGCTAATCGCTTTGTTATCTATACGTCCCCCTCAAAGTTAAACCATCCGCCCATTCCTATTTTCCTTTTTCATTGACAAAAAATAACCCTGATATTACTTAAGCGAAGTCAAGCCCAAAACTAAACCTTAGTTGTTTCATGTAACTGTCAGTTTTATCCTTCTTGTATATGGAATTATGTTTTTAAAAAAATTTGTATTTTTTGTTTTGTTTTTCTTTGTTTTAGTAATTATTTTCTTAAAAATATTAAAGATACTGATCGTCATACAATTGCCGATGTGCTCAATAATTTTTTCGCTAATATTGGAAAGGACTTTGCTTGCGCAATACCAAATGTTGAAATGTCTCCTTTAGACTTTTTAAAAACTCCTTCCTGTAATAGCTTTATTATTTCTCCTACAACAGTAGAGGAAATTGAAACTAAAAGCTACTGGTCCTTTTCGTGTACCTGTCACTATTCTCAAAATTTGAAAACCGCATTAACGGTTTGTTGGTACAATTTTGCAGAGACAACATAATCGACCTAATTAACCATTTGGGTAGAATCCCTTTGAGAGTTGAGACGGAACATAAACTGTGAACTGGACGCAGCCAAAGATTTTGGTGAATGACAACCATCTTCTAAATTCCCAAAGATCGGCCTCCGCATAAATAAGTTGGGAGACTAGAAGACTTTTGATAAAAGTGATTTTGCCCAATAAAGTGAACCTCCAAAGTTCCGATAATTCGATGACATTAATTTTTAATTTCACTGAATCCGATCCTTGCGTCGTTTTTGGAACGAAGCATTACGTTTGCCCGTTGTGAACCATACGCCCAGTGCGAAAACTTTCCCTTTCACCCAGGGGATATCGGGTTGGTGTACTCTATTGGGCCTCTCTTTTGGCCGAACCCTCCCAAAGCACTTTGCATTCCTAGAAGTCACTTGAAAACCATCTAGACGGCCCTCGATTGCTCTGATCTATGTGAACATGGTGAATAAGCACACCCGACTTTATAACAACGAGACCAAAAACTGTAATTACGTAGCTCTCGCGCTCGCATCGGTGCACCAGGGGTTAAAAAAAGGGTTATCTAATATGGAAGCGCCAGTCTATTAATGGTAGCCTTGATGCAGTCAACTTTAGTGTTGATCCAAAGAATTACTCTACCCATAAACACCTGCTTTGACGAGCCCACATTTTTGATAACTTTTTTAATCAAGAAGCAAATAGTCATTTATAACGAAATCAATCTCAAGTTTCCTTTCAAGTTAAAAGTATTGCGGAAGATGACAAGCGCCTCCCAAGACCTACGAAGATCTCTTTGCCGAAAAGCGCGTTGTTGAACAATTCTAGAGAAATACAGAAGAAGAGGTCGCTTTTTTGTTTGTTTGCTTGTTTGTTTGTGTTTTTTTTGTGCCGCTGCTAAGCCCTCGCAGAAAACAAAATACGTAAGCATCTCTTTAAAAAATAAATAAATAGAATAACGAGACTACAAAAAACTTTTTTTTCCCATGAAGCGCAAAGGTCTTGTGGTTTTAGCCTATGTGGCCAGGAATCGCGTTTGTGACATGCCTACATCATTTCACGATTTTCAAGTGCTCAGAATCAATTGCTTTGATACTTGAAACTAACTTAGCTTCTAGTGTGAAGCCAACAACTGTAATCAGATCATTGTACTGAACTAGACAGCACGAAAACATGAAACACAACTTTATTGTAGACTGACAAAGTTCTAACATGTACATGGTTACTAAGTAAGTGAAAAAAACTTGGTGGCAACAAAACAACTATATATATAGCTGCTATGTACAACCTTATGTACTTGGTACATTGCTTAAAAACTATAACAGGTAACTAGGAGTGGGCTTTAAATCACAGTCACGCTATTTGATATAAAATCTGAAGGCCTACCTAAGGTTATTAATAAACTGTTGAGGTTTACAATAAAATTAAAAAAGGTGAACCTCGAGAAGTGTCAGCGAAACTTACCAAAAGTGAACTATCTTTAGAAACGAAATATTTAAATGTATAAGGACGAGTCACGCGGCTTACTGTTGCTTGGGGGCTGTCTCGCCTGTCCCCAGTCGCTCCATCTGGGGATACAATAAATGATTTAAATATTGCTCAGGAAAGTTGTGTTGAAGGGGGCCGAGACGAGGAGGAAAACCCTGTTCGTGACGTTATTTGTGCCCTGAGATCGCTCCCAAAAATCCTTGTAAAAGCTGGTGGAGGAGGAAGGTAATGGGCGTTCATGCACTGTAATATCAACGATGTTAAAATTTAGTTTTTTGTGGCTGACGCATGTAATTAACGGTTAAGCTTAATCTTAAAATGTAGTTCTAGTGCCCCGTGTTCAGCTGTCTTTCCTGAGTGCGTGTAGGATTATGGGGTCGTTTTACTTTCGACTTATTTTGAGGAATTTACGTATTTCAACTGTTCATAGTAAATGCGAGAAACATCGGCCTGAGTAAACATAAAAATATTTCACTCCTTTGAACACCCTGTTACGGAAACGGGAAATTTACAAACGTCTCTCGGATGTTCGTAATTGGAAATAGGATTCAACTTCAGTATCTGGAATCATGAATAAAAAAATCCGGGTTTCTAAAAAAGAAATATTTTTGTTTGGTGCCAATGGTCCACCAGTTCCACAGCCGTCAGTTCTTTCTTTCGAGCAAGTTTTAAAAAAGTATGTACAAATTTATTTAAAAAGGGCTAAAAGTATATTACGTTTTGCAAAAAGTATAAAAGAGGTGGATGAAATATATCGCATCTAAAATGGCCTTTTGCAGGTACTACTCACTGCTACGTAGGCAAAACGTCTCTGCTAAATCCTTACGCTGCACAAGTTTATCAGACAAGGCTTTATACAGGACTTCGTAAGTTGCTTCTCTACCATCCCTACTTTTCCACGCACAGAGCATTTTAAAGGCTTTGTCTGGTAATCTTCTATTCTCTTCGTCAAATGCAGTAATTTCTTCAGCCTCGAACTTGAGGCGCCGAGCAACAGTTTCCCACTTGGTCCCTAGCTTTTTTGACAAGCGTTCTAAGTGGTCTTGTTCAGGCGAACCATCTCTTATTAAAGCTGTAATATAATGATAGCACATATTTATTTTATGTATGTATAAGAATAACGCATCAGAGTTACAAAAAGATGCATTTCATATTCCTAACTTATCATCACATCAATAAATAGAACTGCTGCTTTGTGATATGGCCATTATTTTAACCCCCTTGATTCCAGACATGTCGTGAGGTTTGGACAACCTATATGACAGCTACTGGAGCTTTAAGTAATATAATAGATTACTTCAGTAAATTACTTCTTGGGAAAAGATTGAGCTCACTTTTCCTTTTACTATATCACGTAAACCCGTAAGTGGCAAACCCAGAATCATTTTGCAGAATAGATCCTATTAAAAGGGTCTTGTCAAGAAAAAGTCTGCTTGTGACATCAAAGCGGTTGAAAGGAAGATGAAATCAACATAAAACTTTAAGGTAGATTAAATGAACCTTTACATAGCTACTATATTTATACCTTTATCACCAGATACGGACTTTTTCTTGCCTTTGGATGGTTGTTCACCACGCTTACCTTGAACTGTAAAGAAAAATTTGTAATCCTACTTAGTAACAAAGTTTATGTACATCAAGTCCTGAGGTAGCTTTTGGCCCTTGCATAGTGAGTCTTGGTCTGCATTATCGGCGCTGTGATCGTTTCATAAGGAAACTGAAAAAACTTACAGGTTAGAAGGGGCGAAATTAAATGCGCGCGGGGAAATGAAAACTCACTGCAAATATGATTTATGTGCATGACATAATTTATTGTTATTGTTATTGTTCTTTGTATCATCAAATTCAACACGAAAGTTAGTTTAAACATGGTTAGTTTATGGTTTGAATTAAATTATCATAGCGCGCGCTGAAACCTCAAAGCAGTACGCGTCAACTTCTGCGCGAGAATTTTTTTTTACCCTTTTCAAAAGTCTTTATTGATACCGAGAGAAAGTTTTTAAAAGTCTTTAAAGATAAGATTAAACTAGTTTTACAAGTTATATTGAGACGGAAAACTACTTCTTCAGTGAAAATATTTATTTGAACGGAACGGAAGACTTTGCAGAGAATGAATTGCATACGCAATAGCGGGCGCAGGAGACAACACTCACGTCATTCGCTCACAATCTAGCCAATCGATTGAATTTTCTTACTTGACCAGATCTCGCCTTTGGCTTCGTCAATAAGAGGGGTACGAGATTACCGATTCTAAAGGGCTTTTTATCGAAACATTCATGGAAGAAACAGTTATCATGCATTCAGTTCATAATAATCGATTTAACACTAGAATACTGAACTTTTCGATGTTTGCCGGTTAGAAGCGATTACTTTTGTATTGACTGGTGCGTCTTTGGAACAATCAGTTAAAAGCTTTGCGCGCAGCTATTGTGGCCTCTTTATTTTTAAATAAAAAAAGCCACATTCAGGTGTAGAATCAGTTGCGTCTTGGTCTGTTGTATCTTGGAATACTAGTGGTTGTTTGTTTTATAATTATCATTTGAAAAATTAAACACTTCAGTTTGGTAGTCACGTGAGGAGGGAGGTAGACTTGTCTTTCCATTATTGTAGTGAGGCCAGAGTTCAAAAATGATGGGATTTCTAGGGATATCAGCAACAAATGAAAACCTATTTTCTGATGTTAGAGATGTTTTATGGACTTATTGTCGAAAGAGCTTACATTCATACATAACAACAAAATTATACCGTCATCTGAAATCCCCGCAGTCGCCTCTTTTACATGATCAGCATCACTGGGATTGCTACTTGATGTCGTTTTGCTTGTTTTTGGAGCTGGCTCTTCTTTAGGTATCAGTAAAAAGAAAAAAAAAGAAAAGAAATGAAACTCAGAAACTTAAGTAGTACTGTTAATCATAGAAATATTTAGTTGATCAAAACAAATTTCTGACTTTCCCTCTGCACCCTTACTCTATAAATAGCCCATACTACGGAGACAACCCTTCTCCGTCTTACTTTAGCTAAACTAAAGGTCTCATGTATTACAACAAAGCATGACAAACCTAGAGATAATAACCGAAAACCAGAAAAAGAAAATACTGAAATAAATATATCAATAAATAAGTAAATACTTTCATACATAAATATGTGAAAAATTAAAAAAGTAACTTGAGCTGAAAGAGGTTCTCAGTCTACAATGCTTTTCCACACGGAAAGCTAACTGCTCTAACCCTGGAGGCAAGTATTTTGAGTTTATCTGTCTACATGAATACTTTGGATTTATTTTTGACCAAAGAAGGTAACCGGATTTAACTGATGACGCTAGAGAAGTCCTTGACGCAACGAGGACCAACGAGCTGTGATCGAGAGGGACAACTTGAACCTGTCTGAATTTGTTAGTAGCTCTGTGGTAGCTATTGGTCAGCGGTGTTACCTACTATGACAAGTGTGAAATAGGAAAGCAGGGTAAACTGGTGGAAAAACAGTGGTGGTGTTTGTACCTTTACTAATTTATCACCACTAACTAAGGAACGTACATGGTATGGTTTTGACGAGTAATTTGTAATTTTATATTGAACGTTAACTTTAAACATGTAAGTGGCTACATATTAGTTAAAGTACAACATGTAAGTAAGAGCAAGATCTTAGGCGGGATTTTTAGAGAGGTCCGTATGAGCGCGGACGATGCAAGTTTCCCGCGCATTAGGCTTACTACGGAAGTAGGTTTGTCTGCTTTACCGGCAACATTAAAAAGATAAAAAGATTTTCTGAGGTTGCATTTCGTGTGCTTTTGAAAAAGAAATCAATGAATTGTAGGACAGACACTAGCTGTTGCTCCCAAAATGTAAAAATCAAAGAACATTAGTCACTGGATTCGGGTATGAACTGAATTTTTGCAACTAAAGGCTAAATCTGAGCATGCATGTCTACCTGGAGTAATAAAAACCGGGTTAGCAAACATTTTTTAATTTTTCGCAACTTCCCTTGTTTACTTTGCTGTTTGCTTATGTCGTATTTTTTTGGCTTTTCTTGTGGTTAGGGATTTGTGTAGAAGTAGATGTAGACAGAATTACTATCTTACCCCCCCACCCCCCTTATTTTTTTCCCTACCCAGAATTCTTTCTTTAACACAAGTGACAGTTATCAGTTTGAAATCAGCGGGCGCCTAAAGCTGGTTTCGGTGCCGTTTAGCAGTTTAGCAGTTTAGTTTTATATATTAGTCACCTTGAGAAAAGTTTCCCGGAGAGCATCATGTAAAGCTCTGAGATGGGACAAAGTTATTACGATTTTCAGAGTCTACATCGTCCAATATCGTATTATATTCTCGTTTCATTTGGCTAAACGGATCAATCACCCTGATCCGGGCTGAGACAGAAAGGCACGATATTGTTCGCTTTTCTAAGGTGACCACTAAGTCTTTGGCCTCGGGAAAAGGCTCTTAGGAGTCAAATGAATTCGGTGAGAACAAAATTTCAGGTGAACTTTGACCCAGGCCAAGACGTCGTTTTTTTCTGGTGTGAAAACAAGGCTAAGGTGATCCGCCGACCGCTTGACTCTACATCCGGGAACTTGAATAAGACGAGTGTAAGAGAAAAGTCCAGAGGCTGTTTATCTGGCAATTGGCTGAGTTTTTCCGAGTTATTCGATGACATTTCGCTTATGTTAAACGTGATTATGCGTGGTTGTGGATAGTCTTATCAGTGCCGCTAAAGTGTGTGATTGTGTGATTTCCGCATGGTGTTGACAGGTATGTGATCGCGTGGTAGAACTGCGGTTTGGCCAGAAAACTCTAATGGCATTGCACCATAGGCCGGTTTTTTCAGATAAGAAGGTGATAATTTGTACACTATGTTTCATTCAGTTTGTTGTCTATTCCATGCGGAATCCTGTTGTTTATCGAAAAAAGTAGTGTTTCTGCTAACTATTTAAGTTGTTATGTAAGCCTTAACCAGGTACTCTTTCGCTGCAGCTCACTCAACGTAAAAATTTCTAGACTTAAATGACACCGGTTTGAATCGAAACTTCGCGAAGTCAGTTTACTGAATAAATGTTCTAAAATTTGCGTCATTTTAAATTGGGACTCGTTGGAATGCTTCTAGGGACCATTAACGTACTGCCCGGCGTCAATTAAAGGCTTTTAATCGGCCTTTGAATGAGTTTTGTTGTTTTAAATTGCCAAGTAGTAGAATGAGTTGATATTTTTGCTAACCCGGTTTTCAAAAATCTAGATATATGTATTTTACGTTTTTTGATATATCTGCTCTTAGTTATAATTTTTTTCAGAATTGCTCTCAGTTTAATTCTCCTCCGCTCCTGTCGAGTCACAAAAAACACAAGAAACGGCTCAGTTTGGCAACTCACTCTGTACCTAACAGAAGGACCCAGTGCCGGATCCAGACCTCGACTAGGGGGCACGGTCATCCAGACCCTTACATAAGAGGGGGGGGGGGGGGCCCGCCCCCAAAACCAAATTTTCCCCCCCCACGCCCCTTTGTTTGGTGCAATAATAGTCGGGGGGGAGGTGGGGGGGGGGGGGGGGGTCCTCCCCCCTGCCGCGCAACGTGTCATCGTACAGCTCNNCCCCCCCCCCCCCCCCCCCCCCCACTTTAAACGACGGAAACCGGCGAAGGCTGGGTTGAAGTGCAAACTTCTTACATAATCTGAAAGCTAAGACGTGGGGTCAAAAAGAACGGGACATGAACCAAAGGTTTTAACTTATCTATATGTGATATAAATAATATGTTATTCGTAGTTTGTATTGATACCCTTTCAATCACCTGTTGATAGAGAATCTCCTTTTCGCTTCTTAGCGCCGGCCGAAGATGATGTTGAAGGAGAGTCTATAAAAAAGTGAAATTCAAGCATAAATTTTTGTCTCAGATATGAAATTGAAGAAAATAAGAGAAGTTAATAGAAATTATGTCAATTTATGAAATAACAAATTTTTATATGGTAGTGATTAGACTGTTTACAATCGTCCCGGCGAACGAGATTATCTGCGTAACTATGGTCTCGAGTAGGACCGTAGGGCCAGTTACAGTGATTAACGTTTCGTTTATAATATAGTAATGTTCCCTTTAACCGAATTATTTTACTTTCTAGCGTTTCAGACCTTAGAGGTTCCTAATAATTGATATACTAATAATATACATGCAATAATTTCAGCACGCTCATTGGCTGAGAACACGCCAATTAATCCCAAACATTACACAAAGTTGAAATTTTTCAGTGCAGAATGTTGAAATTAAATTGATCGACAGCGCCAGGAGAGTTAAGGGTCTGTCAGTAGAATAATCGACAACTCCCTTGTATATTTTTCGGTGAGGGTGAAGAATGTGCAAACAGACGTAAATCGCAAGTCGTGTAACCATAATCAAATAGCAATTCTGATTTCAGTTTCATTGCGCGGCATTTTGACCCACTCTCCAAGAAAAAAACGAGAAGAAACAAAAGCCATGAATAGGACCCCCCGCCCCTAATAGCAAAATGCAAAATTCTTGACGGAGACTCAAAACAGGAAAAGATTCTTAAAACAGAATCACTTTTCATTAGAAAGTAGTGTGATTGAAGAGTTGCGGAAAATCTTTTTTAAAACCATATGTTTTCTGTTTGGTTGTATTTTAGCCGGCTTCACGTTTGGAAGGCGAATTAACTAGATGAACATACGCCGCTTAAAGGCTCTTTTTCAAAACCAACATGACAACTAAGTTTTACAATCAGAAAACTGCTCAAAGGCTTGTGCATATTTTATCTTATGAGTCACCGTACCTTATGACTGAAACTTAAAATAATTATGCCCGCCGTTAACGAGACAAAAACAGCCATTGCTGAAATCCCCGTTGAGACGCTTTCCTCAACTAAAACCCAAATATACAAAACACAACAAAGGAATCTTGATCGAAGTTGTAGTTCTTTCCGTGGCGGCAGTGGAATAACTTGAAAGTTAAAAATGTAAAACGACAAAAGGCTTCAGTTTTCCGTAAACAAATTTCTAGCTTCTAATGCGTTTTTATTCATCAAAATTCACCTATCAAAATTTAGACCAGTCTTGGTCGAGGTTGGCATTTGTAGGCGGGAACAAGGAGGGGTGACGCTGTGACACGTAAAGAGGAAAAGCAAGCCAAATTTTTGCATGTATATTATTAACAAGTAATCACACTATTTTTCTCGTGCAATTTGGGATAAATCAGCTGTCTTAAATTTTTCAAAGACTACAAAATTAATTGCGATTTGGTAACCTTTAAAAAATTTCCTTGTGCTGATTCATCCCAAATTGCACTCGAAGTCATGTGATTACCGGTACAAAACACCAATGCAATACCAGGTGAGCTTTTCGCGCGAAAACTTGGTATCTTCACATGTGAAAATATCACCGTTGCTATGGCTACGTAATAAATCGCGCCTTTCACACCAAAAACTATTACATGTAAAGTGAAATGGTTTGGTAGTTCATTGGTGTTTATATAATAGATAAGAATATTACATGGCCGCTTGGAGATACGAAATTTCTCTTCTCGTGTTGAAAAAATATTTCACTCGTTCGCTGCGCTCACTCGTGAAATATTTTTCAACCCTCGAAGAGAAATTTCGTACCTCTGCGCGGCCATGTAATATCCTCTATATATAACACGTTTAGCATTTCCAACCGTAGAAAAAAAGATATCCTAACTTTTCGTCGTATTAAATCAATGTAAATGTACTGCACAGCACCGAATGACAACAAGGGGAGCACTAACGAAATCGGGTCAGAGTTCTTCGTGATAATAAGACGATTTAACCGTGATTTCCAAAACGGTAAGAAATCGGGTTTCTTTGTATTTGTCTGCATGTAAGGTTCCATTTATAATAGCAGAGGAGACAAAAACACAAAAACTCTCAGACGGAAAGAATCCAGATTTGTATTGGGAATCAATAAGGAATGCAGGGGACCTAGAGTCACCAAATAAGCTGGGAATGAGAATTTAAATGTATTGTGCATAAGAAATGAAATAATTTCAATATGATTTCTTGGTACGACTGTTTCCTCCTAAATGCATTGAAAAGAGTACGTTAAGATCTCTAGACATGCATTCTAAGCGGCGCTATAAAATTTCAGTTGTATCTGTTCGGTCATCTTACATGAATGATCCTAGGGGAACTTGAGTCTTTTCGAAATTACAAGGGCTTCGGTAGTACTTTCCCTAAAATATTAGGAGCAATTTAACGTATTACCAAGGAGAGAATTTTTCTGATTCCTCTTTCTGTCACTCGTTTGAACCCGAAAATTTTAGGCTTGCTTTTTTCTACGAAAAATAGCCTAACCCGGGGAGTGAAATGTGAAAAAATGAACTTCCGAAAGTCGTAGGGAATTGTTAGTTGAACATCGAAAATTGTACATGAATGAACGGGCGTCTAGAAATTTTAGCCGTCCTCAAGTAACTTAAAATTCTAGGCACTACTTGCTTATCCGAACAGATATTTTACAGAAAACAGTCGTTGGGTGCCCTTGGTTGCAGAACAAATAAACTACACCGCGTGACAGGGAGAAGATTGTTTCAAAGCGCTCAGTCCAAGAAATGATTTCAAGCCTCACCTCCATAATGAGGCCACGTTGGGAAAACAATGGACTCGCTGAGCATATTAACGGTCAATGAAGCCGCCATTACACTGGCAAATCGTCTCCAGGAGTCCTGTGAAGCACCGCTACCGTCTGCGTATTCAGAGATGCCTTTAATGATAATCCACTCGATGTCTAGAGCATGTGCAGCAGCGTAGAGGCCTAAGAATAAAGCAAGTGGGACAAAAAGAAGAAAATAGACTCGTAAGAACGGGAAAACCTTGATATAGTGGTTTTTTATAAATAATACAGGTTTGACGACTATTCAGCTCTTGTCTCAGCCGTGTTAGGCAGTTTATACTTGGCGTAATAAGTATTATATCTAGACACGAGCATATAATTCGACTAAGGGAAAGCCAAGCTCGTCCTCCCCTTTGTGAAAATTGAATGTTTGGCAAAGGACAACATACCACGAACATTATCATAAAACGCTTGAGTTGTGGTGTTACTTCACATTTACCTTCTCCTTCCATTTCTATTGCAACAGCGTTTGGGAATCGCTTTTTGAGCTGGGCACATCGTTGCTGACTTTTGACTTCCTCAGGCCCACTCAGAAATACCCCATCGCGGAATACCGTCGGGACTAATTCACCTGGCTTTTTTAGAGGTGCTTCCCAGCCGTCATCAACACTTTTAATGAGGTCCGCAAGATGCTTTTTGGGAGGCACACTGTGACCTAGTTCCTCAATATCACCATTCTCCCCAACTTTGATAGGTGCGTATGTTGTTAGCTTTGCTGAAACTACCACATCTCCTAATTTGGCTTTTTCGCGGATTAGACTTGCGCAGTACCCCACGCTGATAACAGCTTTTGGCCTTAAGACAGCAACGGCATTTTGAACAACAACAGTGGAGCCTCCAGGGCCGGTCGAGCCCGCACTGCATTTCATCAAGGCAATTTTTAGCTTTGTCGCGTCATCTTCACCAATATCCCCGAAGAACACAAATCCGAGACTTTTGTGATAACTCTTAGAGAATTCAGAGTTCAGGAATGAAAGACAACTTAAAAACTCGCATTCGTTCACTGTCAGCAACAAAATGTCTGTCGGGAGCTCTATATTCTCCCAAAGTACACTCTTGTTCTTAAGGCCCTTTGTCTCGCGTAGAGCAATACTGATCTCTGGTGGACTTTGCTGTCCAGTCATGACAACTCGTTTCACCTGTCAAAGGAAATTGACAAGGCAGCAATAAACGTTTCTTGCTCTCATAAAATTAAGGTGAAGAACAATCTACGTGTTTTTATCCATTTCTATACGCTTAAGTTTGGAAGAAATTCATTAATTATAAGATCATGATATTTCAGTTCAAATTGTCAAGGATCAATAGCTTAACTCCCTTTCACTTCCGGCTTTACTTGGTAATCCAAATTAACATGGAAACATCGGTTTCGACTGTAAGTTTAGATTTATATTTAAGGCTCTTTATTTAGATCAATCGCGCAAAACCATTGCTTAAAGCGCCGGGGGTACTCCCTTATATGGTCTATACGGGGATGTGCCGCTGGACAGGGTATAGTTCTTGTCCTCTCTTTCTTAAACAGGGTATATGTGAAATAATAATCATAACAATTTCATAAGTTTTTCGCTAAATTAGTGTTTTGCTACCAGACTAAGGATATATTTTTGGCGCAACAAGGATGTACGTGATGATCAAGTTGTCTGTATCTTGCAGCTACTAATTTCACTAATATGCAGCTATAACAGTGAAACCTCTATTAAGCGGACCCCCAATTAAGCGGACACTGAATCCGGTTCCCGAAATTAGCGTCTTATATTTCCGTTTATAACGAACCCCTATTCAGCGGATACCTGTATTAGCGGGCACTAAAATAAATTGTATTTGGCTAATTTCTATGGTTAAAAACCTCTATTAAGCGGACACCGGACTGAATTGACAATAGTAGTATACTTACTGTAGTCGATTATCAAAGATAAATCAATACATTTAGCTGTCAAAAAACTGTAAATTAGACCGATATCCAGCCGTATAATTGTCATCCGCGATGAAAGTCCACCTCAAAGTCTTGCACAAAGTACAGCACAGCTTCCTTAACAACATAGAACTATATCACAGTACAGAGTAACCGTTGAATGTTAATCGTTAACAAACATTGCGCAATTTTTAAAACCTTTACTAAGCGGACACCCTCTATTAAGCCCCATCCCCCCGCTCTTGGGTAGGTCCTGAAGGTGTCCGCTTAATAGAGGTTTCACTGTAATTTTATCATCATGATTAGGTAGATATTTAAAGCGGCAGATCAGGCTTAGCACTGCACATTCTTGCTAAAAACATAATACGATTCAGCCTACTATCCGGTAAAGATATAGAGGCACTTGACTTGATCTAAACTTACGAGCAAAGAATCGGAATGCTGGCCTTGGAAAGCCAAAAAAGAGCGACAGCAATTTCATGCTGTTTCTCGAAAAGAGGAAAACACACTGCATTCAACTTTTTGGCGATAGCATCAATTCGTACTTTGCTACACCAAATCTGTCGACCGTAGTAGTAATTGCTAGATCCATTTGAACGAGCTTGGAAAACCCTTCGTAGCACTCCCCCACCCACCTCCTTACGTACTTTAATCTAGCAGCCCAGCTGCGCGTGCTCTGCTTAACAGACAGTCTTGATTGTAAACAGTGTATTGCCTGCACGATTGAATTTATTTGCTCAAGGAAATTTGTTTGTACTCCAATTATACGATTTGGTGTTATTACAGATGACTAATTACATCTTTAGCCCTTCAAAAATGTAAAACGAATGCAATATTCTTATAATGATAATAAAAATAATAATAATAATAATAATAATAATAATAATAATAATAATAATAATAATAATAATAATAATAATAATAATAATGTAATATTCAAATTATTCTGGTACAAGGTTTTGCCCACAGAAAATTTAAATTACTCAATTTTCCGGTGGATTCTGTCTTAATTTTTTAAAAAGATTGCAAATAGTGTAACAAAGCAGGATATAGCCCCTTATGTATAAACATATTTAACATATTATTTTTTTAATTTTTTAATGAAGGCGGAACTGGATACAGTGGAAACTCGATATAAATTTTATGAAAACGAACCTCGATCAGTACAACGAAGTCCTCAGTAAAACGAACGATTTTGTTTAAACCCATAATAGTAAAATATATGGAAAAGAACCTCGATATAACGAAACCTCGTTATAGCAAAAAAATTAAAGCGAACAATTTTTGCCAGTTCCGCTGTATAAACACAACCTTAAATGGCGACAAGAAAAATTCAGGACCGGCGACTTGCGGACATTCCGCGTCTGCCATCTCACTGTATTCAGCACATAATAATAGAACTGGTTAAACTAAGGTAAAGGTTTTGGTTTTATAAATATTTTGAGCAAAAGGTAAAGGAAACTAAAAAGCATGTAGACCGTTTCTCAAACATAAGCGTGGTATTGTCGACTACGGTATTTCTTCCTGTTTGCACGATGGATCGTTTCAGGCATATCTAGCGTCAATAAAGTGCATCAAAGGGAGCTATGTGGAACAGTTAATTACCTCAAAAGATGTAAGATCAAATGATATACCTTTTGTCCCAGTTTATGGCGTCTTGGAATTGGGTTGTTAGGGAAGGAGCGAAGATTCGTAGTTACCTTGTTGATATTTAAGATCGCGTGACAACAAGCTTAATACTCGCCTGAATCAAAGGAACATGAAGGGAAAGTCCCAGGGAAAAATCCCTTCTCGGATGAATGGCTTCGTACTTCCGGAATTCATAAATTATTGCGCGATCTTCGTATCTAGGAAAGATCGAAGCGACTCTGCTAGCAGGGTATCACGAATACATACCACGGGGGCTTCTCGAGCTTCCCGGTCTACTCGGTTTTCCAAACGGCGTCAACCCCAGACGAGGTTGATCATTTCATTATTGTGTATTGTTTCTTCATTAAATTTGGACTGTTTTGAACTCAGATTTATTATTTCCATCTCGATCCCACTTGTGGACACAAGCGTATCCCTGAGTATTTTACAGAAACCTTGCTTTGTTACTTCTTATTAGCATTTATCGTTTTGTTGCAAAATAAACATATTTTACTTGCTGAAAATGGTGAAAATTTAATAAGCGCCCAGCCTCGAATAAGCGCCCACTCTCAAGATCCAAAAATTTAGTAAGCGCCCAGGGCGGTTAAGCGTATAAATACGGTATTTTACCGTTAACAGTCTTTTAAGGACAGTAACTATTGTTTTCATCGTTGATTTTTTATTTACGATCGGCTGAATGCTTTTTTCACGGCTTACCCGATAGATAATTGTCATCGAATCGGAATGATGAATAAACTTCCGGTTATTTAGCTGTTGCTGTATTATACAACATATTGTGGTGTTCACCGTAATGTTGTTGGGTTCTAGAAAAGACAAGTAAAGAAAGCCCACTCGGAGACTCGGTGTTCAACGGGTTTGAATCTAACTGGTTCTTTTACAGATGGCATCATTTGTGTCGTGTAAGGTATCGCCTTCATGTTTCTCAGTGCCTTGCCGTTAATAATTAACTGACAAAGACCATTCATTACAAGGTAAAATTGAGATTATTAAACACTGTATTAACATGAATAAAGGGATTTTTCTCCCTCTTTATCTCAGGAACGATCATCTTTCGCATAGTAGTACAGTGCAACAGCATTTATGACGGAAATAGTCTTTCCAGGGGTGTCAAACCGAGTTGGAAATTCAGATCGCTTTCTGTATAATTTTACCCTCGATAACTCGAACTCCCGGTAACTCGAACGATTTTCCCTTTCCTTTGAAGGTTCGAATTATCGGGGGTCGACTGTATTTTCTCTTTCCCTTGAAGGTTCGAATTATCGGGAGTCGACTGTCCTATAAAAACAAAGTCCAGCATCTAAATTATAAGGAAAGATAACTGCCGCAGGTGGTGGGGTACTGTCAACAGAATGAATGGAATGCGATGGTAAAGTCCTGAATGAGATGGAGTTAGGTGACACCACACACATAAATAAATTTTATGTATCTGTGAGTTGGAACATTCCACCTTTGGATGCCACTACAACTACTGCAACTACGTATACCGATAGCCGTTGCTCTTGGCTTAGTATTCACGCTGCACGTTCAAAATCCCCTCGGCAGGGATGAACAGGGGAAAAATCAACCCATGCGAAACCGACCAAAACCAAATTCGCAGGGGTGCCCAGGGAACACTTTCGCTCATTTTACAAAAACACGGGTCCCCGTCCAGGAGATTTTCAAAGTGCCGCGTGGTTATTAATCCAAGGTAAATTGGAAGCAAGGACCAACGTTACAAAAAACAAGGACCGGATCCTAATAAAGGATCTAATCAGCTATACGTTGAAATATCGAACAAAAGAAGCAAGACTGATTTCAAATTGTAACGTCTCAGCTTAATCTCATCATTGTACGTAAGACCATTAAGAAGGAAGGCCGTGCCTTCCGAAATATTAACAACACCACGAAGAAGTTGAGTACACCACGAAGAGGAGCGGTTCCACGGAAGCGCTAAGTTCCAATTTTTTAACTACATAGCTACATTTCTCTTCCTCTTGAGGTCATGGCTCGATGTTTGGAACTAAATTGACATTTTCAAGGAAGGAAAATCTTCGATCTATGCTCAAGCGAAGATTTGGAGCGATTGGAGTGGAAGCAAAGGTAATTTTTGCTACTTTTTCTTCGGGCAGCGTAGGACAACCGAGTTTTTCCTTGTCTTCATAGTAGGTGAAAAACCAAAACATTAAACCTCCTAAAATGGCATTTATAGGGCAGGAAACAGTAAGAAAGCAACACAGACACAACTCTTTATAAGGTAAGTATACTTAATAGCTGTTTATGTACATTTCATCTATCTTACAATAAATTTAATTTTTATCGATCCTACGATAAATTCACATACAGATCTTTATAATTTGGCTTCCAGTAGACTGTTGTGAGTCTGGGTTCCCTCTGGTGGAATTAATAGCGTGTATTACTCGTAGCGCCACGACAAGCTATACGGTATGGTGTGCACCATAGTCTCTCCAACAGAGCTTCGTTGGAGAGACTATGTGTGGACTTAGCCTTACATTGCATGCAGCGACCTAGTGAATCGGCCACACTTTAAAATCATGTACTCTGTTTTCCCAGGAAGTGGTATAAGAC